CACTGCACCGAGGAAGGTGCTGAGCTTTGGAGTTTGCGCCTCTCCGAAGCTAGGTAGCATTGCACTAAGGAAGGTTCTAAGCTTCGAAGTCTATGTTTCTCCGAGGCTCGGTAGTGGTGCATCGAGGAAGGTGCTGAGCTTCGGAGTCTGCGCCTCTCCGAGGCTTAGTAGTGCTATGCCGAGGAAGGTTTCAAGCTTCGAAGTCTAGGTCTCTCAGAGGCTCGGTAGTGCAGTGTCGAGGAAGGTGCCAAGCTTCGGAGTCTATGCCTTTTTGAAGCCAGGTAGCGTTGCGTCGAGGAAGGTTTCGAGCTTCAAAGTCTGGGTCTCTTCGAGGCTCAGTAGTGCTCTGTCGAGGAATGTTCTGAGCTTTGGAGTTTGCGCCTCTCCAAGGCTCAGTAGCGTTGTGCCGAGGAAGGTGTCGAGTTTCGAAGTTTGGGTCTCTCCGAGGCTCAGTAGCACAATGTCGAGGAAGGTGCCAAGCTTCAAAGTTTGCACCTTTTCGATGCTCCGTCGAGAAAGGTTCTGAGCTTCGAAGTCTGGATCTCTCCGAGGCTTGGTAGCGCTGTGCCGAGGAAGGTGCCGAGCTTCGAGGACTGGGACTCTCCGATGCTCGGTAGCATTGTGCTGAGGAAGGTTTCGAGCTTTGGGGTCTGCGCCTCTCCGAGGCTCGGTAGTGCTGCGTCGAGGAAGGTGTCAAGCTTCGAAGTCTGGATATCTTTGAGGCTCGGTAGCATAGTGCCGAGGAAGGTGCCGAGTTTCGGAGTCTGCACCTCTCCGATGCTCCACCGTGGAAGGTTCTGAGCTTCGAAGTCTGGGTCTCTCCGAGGCTCAGCAGCGCTGTGCCGAGGAAGGTGCCAAGCTGAGTTTCGAAGACTAGGTTTCTCCAATGCTCGGTAGCGCAGTTCCGAGGAAGGTGTCGAGCTTCAGGGTCTATGCCTCTCTGAGTCTCGATAGCACTAGATCGAGAAACGTGCCAAGCTTCAAAGTCTAGGTCTCTCCGATGCACGACAGTGCAGTGCTGAGCTTCGGGGTCTATGCCTCTCTGAGGCTCGGTAGCACTGTGCCGAGGAAGGTGTCGAGCTTCGGAGTCTGTGCCTCTTTGATGCCCCACCAAGGAAGGTTCCGAGCTTCGAAGTTTGGGTCTCTCTGAGGCTCGATAGTGCTACATCGAGGAAGGTGTTGAGCCCTTGGGCCGAGCTCCCCTGATGCTGGACCAAGGATGGACTCTCTAATCTTTGGCTGAGGAATTTGTAGCTTGACCGAAGTGTAGTGCAACTTCCCTTGGTCAACATTGTTGTTGATTGCCCTGTCGAGGATTGAACAGTTGCGGGTTGCTCTTAGAATTTTGTCTTCTTTTGTCTTTTTCTTCTTTGGTAGCTCGGTATGCCGAGCTTTAACCTGCTGTACTGATGGCTTAACTTAATGAAATTGTTTTGTTCTGAACTTGTGTGCATACATACGAGTTGGTTCCTCGGCCTTACCTTGGCCGAGGTCTAGGGTTGACCGAGATTTTCAGTCTCCGGCTAGTGGGGCTGGAGTATATTTTGAGATCTCATCTTTGGGACACTCAGATTCTAGTCTTAGGAGCCTTTGGGGCCCTTCGTAGGTCAACCGTTGTTCAGTTGGCTCTGCGATGTTTTGTTGCCGAAGTACGGAGTACGATGACCGCCCTCTGGCCTCAAAAGCGGGAGCGATCTTCTCCGATTTGGGCTTTGGCTGTTGATCAGCCGAGTCAGATGTTCGGCTATACGCTGCCGAGCTAGCTACTAGCTATGCGTTAAGGGCTCGAGCCATTATAGGTCAGATGAGTCAATTTTCTTAGTCGGTGATACACTGCCGAGCTTCGTGTCATGCCCGCTGGTAGGTCAGCTGATTCATGCGTGCGTCGGTCAGTCAGCTGTATAGCGTGGTTGTGTAGTGCGGCTATGTGTATGGTTGTCGGGCTCGTGGGAGAGAGCCGTGGAGGCAAACCACCTTACTATGTCTTGCATCTCCCCTCCTTTTTGGCCGACGCGTTTTAGGGTCCTAGGGATGAGGATCATCCTTCATACGCGTCAGGGCGTGGGGGGACGGCCCGGCTGGGCGGTGTTGTGCATCCTAGTGTCTGCATCATCTTGAAGATCTTATCGACTCTCTTGCATTGCTCGGAACTGTACAGGATCAACCGCGGCTAGAGGCTATGGAATTTCTTGATGCGGAGGGCTGCAATGCCAAGATTCCCGAGATGGGTATCAGTCTGTTGATCGTTTGAACTAGTTCTTTGGCATCTTGACCGCTTTCTTGATTGTGCGGTGATTTTCGAGAAAGGCTTTTTGTGCGTTTCCCACAGACAACACCAATTTGATGCTGCTCAATCCGAGGTGGTGCACGAATTGAGGAGAACAACCAGATAGTCTTTGCTGGCAGGGCGGGGCCGAGCTACAAGGACGAGGCTGCACTTCAAGACTTGTGATCAAGGAAACATAAGTTAGAGGCCCGAGGAGTTATCCCCGGGTAAGCACTCCGATGCTCAAGTTAGTAGGAGGTGGTAGGTGGTCGGGCCAAGCTATAAGGATGCTGGTTCAAGCTAAATAGCAGTTTCGGTCTCAAAAGTTGGGGATCCCTTACCTCGAGCATGGAGTATCCTTTTATAGCCGAAGATCCATGTCCTGGTTAGATTGGGCTTCCGGGGTTGTCGGGATGAGGTTAGCCGTCGAGGTATTCGGGATAGAGTCCCATTCCCTAGTGGAGGCGTCTTCCTTATTCCTCTTTATCCGTAGTTGTGCTCATCCACATGATGTGTAGTTGACGTGGCTGAAAGGAGAAGATGGGGGGCCACCATAATAGTGTAGCTCGGCCGAGCTATGCCGACGTGGCCAAGCTAGGTCGATGTGGCCGGGTGATAATTGGGCGACCATGTGTCTTGCAGGGCCAGCTTAGCCATGACTCGAACAATATCATATGTGATCATCAGCAAGAGAAGCCATATGTGGAAAATTTCACTATAAATGCTCAAAATACAAGAAATTGAACCATATGTACCATATGTGATCATTAGAGCGAGAGATGGGGATTGGGGAAGCATTTCCATTCTTCCCTCTTTGGCCCCGTCCGTTTACAAATTTCTCACTTACTCCAGTAAGTTCACTTACCCATGTTCTTTTGATTTCCATGTAAGTACTATAATGACCTTTTTACCCATAAAAAACTAATATTAAAAATGTCAAACTTGTCCCATCATGTTTTATAAATTTTCCCCTACATGGAAAAGTTACATATACCCATATGGGAGATGGATAAATTTTAGTTGGGCAAATAAAGCTCTCTTTACCACAGGATCCAATACTTAATACAGAAAGAACACCATAAAGTTGGTCATTGGGCCTGATTTAATAACCATTGACCAATTTTCCCCTTTTTATTTACCAATAAACAAATGGGGCCTTTTATTTTTGGGTAAATTTCTTAAACTACCCTTATAGTTTAGTTAATTGACTAACTATACCCTTACTGTTTGAAAGTTGATTGATGTTACCCCTATTGTTTCTAACAATTGACTAACTCTATTCTAACCGTTAACCTCCGTAAAAAACAATGCAAAATGCCTAAACTACCCTTTGGAGTTCAGATGTTGTTGTCGTTGGTGGAGTTACATATATCTTTCTAGTTTCTACTCTACCTCTCTCTCTACCATTATGATAAATTTCTACTCTACCACTTTCTCTCTCCAATAGTTTCTACTCCACCCACCCGCTGCTAGGTGGAGCTATGGGGCAATGTCACCGCCTCTGCACAAAGGAAGAAGAGAGAGAGTGAGATCGGAGTTTAGATGTTGTTGCCATTGCCCAAAGGAAGAAGAGAGATCGAACTTCAGAGGGGTTATTGCTGTCGTTGCCCAGAGGAAGAAGAGAGAGAAAGAGAGATCAGAGTTCAAAGGAGGTTACCGATGCCGTCGCCCAGAGGAAGAAGAGAGAGAGAGAGAGATCGGACTTCAGATGGGTTACCGCCACTGTCGCCTAGAGGAAGAAGAGAGAGAGAAAGAGAGATCGGAGTTCAAAGGGGTACCGATGCTGTCACCCAGAGGAAGAAGAAGAAGAAGAAGAGAGAGAGAGAGAGAGAGAGAGAGAGAGAAAGGGAGATGGGAGTTAAGAGGGGGTTGCTGCCGCCATCGCCATCGCCCAAAGAAAGAAGAGAGAGAGAAAGATCAGACTTCAGAGGGAGTTGTCGTCGTTGTTGCCCCTGTTCAATTTGTTCATACCACTTCGGTTGCCATCAATGCCCCTATTCGGTTCACTCATTCTCTGCTTCAACAAAGCACCCCCACTGTTGAAGAAGAAAGAAGATGAAGGGTGTGTCGGTTCACTCGTTCTCTGCTTTAATTTTCTTTTATTCTTTTTTTGTTCTTGACTGTGAAAAAATTGACAGATGCTTTATTTTTTTTTTGAATTTTTTTGAATTCTTTTATACAGTGCAGATACAGTGCAATTCTCTCTAGTGATCTAGTGTTGATGGAGACTATGAGAGAAAGATAGAGAGAGAGAGGTCGAAGGAGGGAAGGTGATCTAGTGTTGATGGAGACAGTAGGAGGAAGATAGAGGGAAGAGAGAGAGAGAGAGAGGTCGAAAGAGGGAAGGTGATCTAGTGTTGATGGAGATGTGGGAGGAAGATAGAGGGAAGAGAGAGAGAGGTCGAAGGAGGAAGGGTGTACAAGGTCGAGAGGAAGGGGATAAGGGTAGTATTAGATTTTAAACAATTTTAAATGTCACGTGATTTCACATGTTTATAGATTTTAACTGAATATTAACGGATGTTAACGGAGTCAATTGTCAGAAACAGTAAGAATAGTATTAATCAATTTTCAAACACTAAGGCTACACTTAGTCAATTAACTACATAGTTTAAGAAATTTACCCTTTATTTTTTACTGCTGTGACGGATCAAGCCAAACAGTTGAGCTATTGAACCACAATGAAAACCGGTTTACCATCGTTTGGTAATTGGTATGCACTTCGATTCTTGTGTGAAGGTATCGACTGCCCGGATTGCCATTGCCGAAGGCTTCAAATATTTTAGAACGCAAGTGGATCCTCTCCTGCAACCCAACGTCACGAAATACGTAGCAGCGCCACCAAAAACAATTTCACATCATATTCTGCTTAGGCTCCACAATTGAAGTAGCACTAGTACATCATTCGTGGACCTCAAAATGAATCTCAGTTCAATTTGGATTGCAATCTCGTCTATAACACCACAGATATAAGCTCAACCTAAATCATTCATTTCTCAGGTCTGGTTTGTTGCTATTTCCAATGGATTTTCTTTGCTATTTGCTGGTTTTGGCTTTACTTTTTCATCAATGGGCTCTCGGGAGCGAGTCGAGGTCCGAGATTGGGCTCCTAACTCAAGAGCTGCTGGAATCGGCGAGGGAGCCCCAGTTCTTCGATTGGTTGAGAAGGGTTCGGAGGGCAATACACCAAAACCCAGAACTCTCTTTCCAGGAGTACGAGACAAGTGAGCTCATCAGGTCGGAGCTTGATTCGCTTGGAATTGGATACTCGTGGCCGGTAGCCAAGACGGGAGTGATTGGTTCGGTGGGTTCAGGTCGGCAGCCCTGGTTCTCTCTCAGAGCAGACATGGATGCTCTCCCTATACAGGTACATTCCTCGCTTTTTATTTCATTTTTGACAATCTCAGTTCTTGCAATTCAGATTCAGAGGGGTTAATTGTCAAAAATCTATTTTAGATATGGTGCTTTTTTCAGATAAATTAACATTAGCATTAACTGAAAATAGCAGACAGATCAGAGTTCAAAATGTCATACAGATGGACTATGCCAGCAAACCAAGCTACAAACTTAAAAAACACTGATCAATCAACCCAATAGAATCCACAATATATTGACAACTCCAAGGGATTATCAAAGTTTTTCCCTGGAGAGAAGAAATAGACATCAAAGAGTCAGATTCTGATAAAATAGATTTCCAGTCTTGAAATTCAACAAAATGAACTGCTTCCAAAATAGCTATTAGTTCTGCTTCCAAACCTTCATTGGAAATTTTGCATTTATCACCGAAGACTACCATATTAACACGGTTCTGTCCTATCCAAAATCTCAAAAGCTTGAGTGACAGCGATATCATTAATCATCTCATTAGGAAAGAGATTTGTAATTGACTTCAACTGGACTACCCCATTATATAGGTCTTGGTCTGCATTACGTTAGATCAGTTTTGATTGTTCTTCTCGTTCTATATTTAAATATTATCATATTATCATGTTTGAATGTGTCGATTTAACATATGATCAGCTTTATTGTCAAATTACTGGTTAAAAGTAGAGTTGTCAATAATTGTGTTGGTTCTGTGTTTGTTATTACATACAGACCCTATAAGATCTGGTTTAGGACTGTTTTTGCACATTTATTTATCTGTTTGGGACCAGATCTACCCTGACCGGGATCAGGCCCGACCCATTGATAACACTAGATGGGATATATATATATATATGCTGAACTTGTTCGCGCTGCATTTATTGCGCACTTCATTCAGTATGTAACAGGTGTCCCATTACACGTGTGTAAATATCCACGCATATGAGACCACACAAATAATGAAACACCTGTCACAGGCTGACAGACTGAATGGAAGTTCACAAAAAAAATGCAGTGCAAACAAGTGCAGCAGGTCCAGTCTTAAATGGTTCCAAAAATCCTCTTACTGATAATTAATGTGGCAATTGTTTAAGTGTTCTCTTCCTCTGTAGCTATGTATATGAGGAGTTTAATCACTCGTAACCAATATATTCATGTATATGTGTACATATGGAAGGAATTGGTAGATTGGGAGTTCAAGAGCAAGAACAATGGCAAGATGCATGCATGTGGGCATGATGCTCATGTAACCATGCTTCTAGGGGCAGCTAAGTTACTTCAACAACGAAGAGATGAATTGAAGGTACAAAAATCAGATACTTAATTTTGAGCCTTTTATGTTCAATGTTTTTGTGATTAATTAGTCTCATTTCTATGATTGAAGGGCACAGTGAAGCTTGTTTTCCAACCCGCAGAGGAGGGACAATCTGGGGCATACCATATCTTGAAAGAGGGTGTACTTGAGAAGAATCAAGCAATCTTTGGGTTACATGTCTCACCATATTTGCACACTGGTGTCATTGCTTCAAGGCCTGGTGGATTGCTAGCGGGCTCTGGGCGGTTCTTAGCCATAATTCAAGGGAAAGGTGGGCATGCAGCAAGCCCACATAAAATAATAGACCCAATTATTGCAGCATCCTCAGTGATCCTTGCACTCCAACAGATCATATCTCGAGAAACAGATCCTCTTGACAGTAGAGTAAATGTTTTTCCTTTATCTGTTAAAGATCTTAATTAAGCATAGCTTAAGCTCTGTTAATCAATGCAGTATTACTGGAACATTCATAATTCATTCAATGACATATAGGTGATCTCAGTTGGATTTATAGATGGTGGCCAAGCAGAAAATGTGATCCCAGAATCTGTAAAATTTGGAGGCACCTTCAGGAGCCTGACCTCTGAAGCTCACTCTCATCTTCGAAAAAGGATCGGAGAGGTACCTAAGCTAAACCACATTCTTTGGCCCTCCATAATTATTTATGGCCGTTCTAATGTACACTTTCAATTTATCTTGTGAAGAAGGGGTCTTTCTAGTTTTAATATGGCCTCAGGACTTTTTAAACTATTACCCTTTTATATGATGTAATAGAATGACATGATAAGAGCATAAATATGTTCTTTGTGCAGATAATAGAAACACAAGCGGCTGTACATCGTTGTACTGCTATTGTTGACTTCATGGAAGAGAAATCAATACCTTATCCCGCAACTGTGAATGATGAAGCAATGTACGAGCATGTAAAGAGGGTTGGTGAGAGCCTACTTGGGCAACCAAATGTGCAACTTGAATCATTGACTATGGGGGCAGAAGATTTCAGCTTCTATTCGCAGAAGATGCCAGCTGCATTTTTCTCTATTGGAATAAAAAATGAGACTCTGAAATCGGATCAACCTCTGCATTCTCCATACTTCTACCTTGATGAGGAAGTTCTTCCCATAGGAGCAGCACTTCATGCAGCTGTTGCAATCACTTACTTGGACAGCCATGTTGCTGATACTCATTAGTGACCTTAGTCAATTCTCACTGTTGGAACATAAATCTCAAGAAGGAACAAAAAATCTTGAGAAACATCAGAGACAAGATAGCCAAATCAAAACAACAGAGGACATATATGCAGTGTACCATGTTCCCTTATAAATCTCCTTGTATCATAACCATGTGTCCATTGGTTCATCTGGACTTTTCATCAATTGGTCTGCAATTTAATAGGACAGCATTTGCACCACAATATACCATAAGCACCTGCTACTTTTTTTACGAGTCTTTTATCTGCTCAGCCCTCAACAGCAAGTTCACTCTGCAAACCTCTTGTTGCTTACTGCTAAAGAAGTTAAAGGTTTTCTTCCTCACTCTTCCTCTTATGACCGGGTTCCCCAAGGCACTCCTCTTCTCTTTTGTCCTTACTAGAACCCTAAGAAATGCTAGCTTTGAAAGAATTTTATTAATTCAGTTCGGATTATTTGGGCAAGCTTTTAAAGAAGAAAAAGAAAAAGAAAGAACATAATTGCGATATTTGGACTTTTATCCTGATGCTTGTGCAGGAGAAACTTCTGGTAGATTTGGAAGTTACAATAGCGGCTTTACAATAAAGACTGCAATCATCTACAAATTGGAGGATAGAGATACAAGGTCCACCATTTAAAGTACAGCAACCATTTCAGTAGCGTGGATGAAGGATACAGGATGAGTGAGTCCCCTGCCAAAAGCTGCCAGTAGTGTGGATGCTTTCAGTGGGACTGTGGGAGGCCCATTTGCTATTTACTTGACAGGATAAGGATGGGTGCACTATAATATCCATTCAATTCTTTCATCATATACGGTATTAAAACCATTTTTATGAAACAGAATCATATGGAAATTTTCTAAAAGGGAAGGTTGTAGCCCACCTAGCCCTAAACCCATGCCATACAAAGCACTCCCTCACTATCTAACCAATAACCAGGAAAGCAACAAAAAGCACAAGATACTTAAACATTATCATATCTAAACCTAGGAACTGGAATACCTAAGAGGTGTAAAATCGAACCGGGGTAAACTTTACACCCCGATTTTGCAGGCATTTGGTAGAGGTGTTAATATACCTCATCAACTTGTCAGTATATTCAATATTCCATTGCAATCCAAGCTTAATTCGATTCTACTATAAATCCAATAAATGAATATAAACAAATAAAATTTGGATCTACATTTGATCTCATCCATTTGCAGCCTTACCATATTTTTTTTCTTTTAATTCCTTTGGCATTTTACTTGTGTGGTAGAAAGGCATTCTCCCATGATGTCTAATAGTTTTATTAATGGTTGCTTAAATTGCCTTGTTGAACTCCTTCTCAAGATCTCCATTAATGAGACCAGAGGGCTTGCTTAGGGATCAATAGAAGGACCGTGACTAGAAATATTTTATCATATTATAATTATAGTATATTGAAAAGTGAGAAAAAAAAAAGAAAAGACGTATTTGAATCAGCATATTCTAATTATAGAAATAACTTCTGTTTATAGGGCTACAGAATGGTATTCGATAATTCAAATTCAAATTTGAATATGATCCGAGTACGGAGTTATCCAAATTTGATCAATTTATAATTAGATTGAATATGAATCCACTCCTATCTAAGGGTGTCAATCGACTAGTTTTGGATTGAATCCAATCCAATCCAAACATTATTAAATCGGATTTATACGGTCCATTATAATTATTGGATTGGGCCAATCCAAAATAAATTGGTCCATATTCTTATTAGTCTAAATTGGACCTAAACTAAATTTTCAATAATGGGATCATGAGGCCAAACCCTTGTCCAATTTGAAATTGAACTGAAACCGACGTAAAATCACTTTTATGAAAGTACTTTTATTAAAACTTTTACAAAAGTAATTTTATGAAAAGTACAAAGCAGTTTTATAAAAGCACTTTTACGAAACCACTTTAATAAAAGCACTTTTACAAAAACGTTTTTATAAAAGTACTTTTATACAAAGGAACTTTAATGAAATCACTTTTACAAAAGAATTTTTATGGAAGTACTTTTATAAAAGCACTTTTACAGAAGTACTTTTATAAAAACACTTTTACGAAAGCACTTTTATGGAAAATACCTTTATAAAAGCACTTTTAGATTTTCTTCATTTTAATATATTTTTGTAATTTTTATATGTTTTGCCTTTTTATATAATTTTTGATATTTTATTCGGTTTGGATTGGATCCAATCCAGTCCATTTACATTTTAATGGATTGGATTGGATTTGGTTTAATTTGTATGGATTTGGACTGGATTGAGTCCAGTCCATTTGTAAGTGGACTCAACTTTGTTCCTCTGTCTTCTGCTCTCTCTTCGCGCTAAGCCGAGTGCTTCACTTGATAGAAGCACGAGGCGCGCTATAGCTATTGCTTGCTCTGCTCTCTTGCTTGCTTCTTTGTTTTGTTTGCCAAGTATCTCCTTAGACGCTTTCTTTGAGTTGAGTAAAGCAGGAACTTTCCCTTAGGTCTAATGCCTGAGGAGTGAGCCGAGTGCCCTCGGTAATGGAATGACTATTGCTGGGGCCGGATTAAACGTTCTGAATTTACCACTGACATTGAGTGTAAAGTTTATTTGATTACCTGCCTTCCACTTCAGTATTCCTTCCACTTTCGATTGATTCACAATAGGGACCTTCAATTGAAGCCCTTCTTGGAAAGCCATCGATAATCAAGCCTGGCGAGCCTCGCTCGTTTTGGTCGGGCGAGCTACCCTTTGAAGCTGAAAGCCAGATCAGCTTCGTCGAAAAGAAAACATACGAATCGAGGGCTTGCTTCCTTTTCTCATCTGGTGGGTTCGATTCCGGGAGAKAGTGATTGATGGCAGTTCCATTGAAGAAGCTCTTCGGCGAAGAATCTTCCGAAGAAACCAAGCCTCAAGTCGAAAAGACAATTGACGGGCACTAGCACTCCCACTTGTTCGAGGTGCCACCTCGATTACTCACTCTGAGGTGAGTGAAGTGCCCTACTTCTATCTCACGGGTAGTGGTAGTGTAGCTGGGCTATTGATCCTGGTGAAGGAGTCCTATCAAGTAAAGGCCGGGCCGTCGGATTATCCACTACGGCGGAAAAGCGCTGCTCCGCGTCGAGCTCGGGAGCTGCGCCTTCGCCTTGATTCGGCTCGGGAGCTGCGCCTTCGTCTGAATTCGGCCCGGGAGCCTCCACCTCGTAGAGGTCATTCTCCGACGAGGAGAGTATATCATTTTCAGGCAAGGATCGGGTTGGACCAAATCCAGTCCAGTTGACACCTATACCCCTATCCAAACTAACATTACAATTGGACCTGGCATTTGGCATTTGGGTTGGGTGGATCGGGTTCGGGTTGGGTCAAGGTACTTCGGGTTAATTTTGGGTTGGATTATCAAATGCTAGACCCTAACCTTAAATGTTCGGGTTAGGGTTGATCCATGGATCAATTCGAGTCATTCCAAAAAATAATTGAAATTTAAAAAATAAAGAAAAAGTACATGAAAAATGTCAAAATTAAAAGAATTAACCTTAAAAATTCAAATATAAAATAAAAAGCTTGAACATTTAACAATTTAATGAGTAAACAATAAAAAGTAAAGACTTAAATAGAAAAAATTAAAGAGTGGAAACTTCTAACAATGCATAAATAATCCCAATTAGACTTGACAATCGGGTCAACGGATTGACCCATGACCCAACCCAACCCAATTTTTTTCTGATTGGGTCGGGTCGGGTCATTTTCACATTTGGGTAGTTAAATATAAGACCCTAACCCTGTTTTTTCGGATTAAATTGGGTCGGGTTCACGGGTTGAGTCAACTTTTTGCCAGGTCTAATTACAATTGAATTTGATTTAAATATTTATGCTTTTATAAACTTAAAATTTATGTTGTACCTATCAGTACAAATTGTTTGGATGTTGTATTTTTACTAAAGAGTTGTAGGCTCAAATTATGAACAAGTTCATGATATATAATATCAATGCAATATTTTAGGTTAATATCTTAATTTTAGTAATTTTTATTTAATTTATCAATACTATTTAATATCCAATAGAATCCCAATTCAATTCGAATCCCAATATTAACAAATCAAAATAGTTCAATTCGATCCAATCCATTTTTAACCCTTAGTACTTTTAATAGAAAAACAAAACTCCCGATCATCACAATGCCTCTGCCTCCATCCAAAAGATTGCAAAATAGAAAAATTGTTGCATTGCTGATTATGCTCAAACGCAACCTGAAAAACGCTTGCCCCCCCTTAAAAAAAAAGCATGTTACCCGAAAACTCGGGTCGGGTCATGGGTTGCGAGTCACTTCTTTTCACACCAATATTTTCATATCGGTGTTGATTGATTGTGATGGTTGAACTATTCGAATCATTTGAATTGGATTGTTAAACCAATATTTTTTATAGAAAAAAAAAAGTTGACTGGTCAAAGACCAGTTGATCCGAATAGTTGAAGCATTTGATATTCCGACCCGTGGATCAACCCTAATATGAAACTTGGGACCGGGGACCAGGGCAAGCCTTTGCCGATTCAACCCGAAACTCGACCCAATCAGAAATGACCGGAAATTGGCCCGTCCCGACCCGACTGACAGGTCATTAAAATTCTATCTGAGTCTGCTGGTTTACCAGATTTCGACTTGCGAGGTCCTCTACATCTGTGGATCGAGTACACTGTCGCCACTCTCCACTCGTCCCCACATTCGTGTTGTGCGTCACTACCTGCAAATCACGAGCAATCACGATGAGTACGGAGTTCTATAGCCCCTGGTTTTCAGCAGTCCTATTCTGCTACATACGATCGCTACTTGCACAGCTACTAACAAGATCTACAGCCGCACATTTCAAACATGATTTCCGCCTCAAAACTCAACAGTCAAAACATTCGGAGATGTGCGCACATAGATGATAGTAGAAGCAGAGTGGGTAGCGTCACGTAAGTAGCAAATCCGGAGTCGCCACAATGAATTCTGTATGCTCGATGATTCGGAAGATATTCTAATCCAAAAGGCAAAAGGTTTCGCAAAAAAAAGAGAAAAGAATGTGCAAAAAGAAGAAAGGTCAGGCCCACAGCTTTCTTATATATGAAAGGTGGCCATAACCATTTCTCTTCGATCTCTCAAGGTTAACGAGAATAGTTCGTACAGGGCCAGAACTTCTGCTTTCGCCTTCCTCTAAATTTATCGGAAGATTTCAGAATTCTCAACCAAATTTAGCGGAGTTGAGTGTTCTGAGTTGTGAGGTAGCGCAAATGAGTGTGGTGGTTCTGTGGTGCTTGTTCGTATCTGTCTTACTGTTCCATTCATGTGCTCTTGGGAACGAATCGACGTCGGAGATTGGGTGGCTGACTCGGGAGCTGCTGGAGTCGGCCAGGGAGCCCCAGTTCTTGGACTGGTTGAAAAGCATTCGGAGGAGAATCCATGAGTACCCGGAGCTCGCCTTCGAGGAGTATAAGACCAGTGAGCTCATCAGATCGGAGCTCGACTCGCTCGGAATCGCTTACTCGTGGCCGGTGGCAAAGACCGGAGTGGTTGGTTCCGTAGGTTCAGGACAGCAGCCTTGGTTCTCTCTCAGGGCAGACATGGATGCTCTCCCTTTACAGGTAAATCTCTCTCTCTCTCTCTCTCATCATGGTTGATATGAAGTATGAACGAATAGATCTGGTCCATATAACTCTTAGTATAGGTATTCAGTTATATGGACCCATCTGATATGCTTCCAAAAAATTTCGCATGGGCGCCTCAAAGAGCGCGCCCCACAATAAATTAAACATCTCCCCATGATAAGTACGGAAATATTCCTAATGCTCGCTGCATATGCATGTGGGGCGCGCTGTGTAAGACCCTGATCCTCTAAATAAAAGAATCATGACTGGATCATCCTCGGCCTTGTTGAGTCACGTGGCTTCTGACAAGACCAACTGAATCACCACGTGTCGGATCTTTTCCTTTCTCTTTTTGTTTTATAAACAGAGATTTTACTTCAGAGTTCGTCCGGTTCTTTTTCTCTCTGTCACTTTAAAAGTAGCATCTAGATCCAGTTGATATTTGACAAGTTTTGTTTTCAAAAAGGCAATTTAGAACGTAAAAAAGAAAAACGTATATAAAATTAAAAAATAAAAAACGATATTTGAGGATTCGACTGATTTTTCATGTCAACGGGTTCTGGTCACAGTATCCAACCTGAAATAGTGAGGCAGACACCATTTGTTGGCAAGTACCAAACCACTTGGTTTGCATATACTTGTATTTCCTCCATAAGCCATGTCCATCTTGTTTTCTTTCATGCACTTCTTAGCAGTAGAACACAATATCTTGATCAGAGTATATAGCCTTTTTTCATTTCCGGTCAAAACTTTGAGAAGCCAGTTGATTAACCGATTGTATTATTTCCTTACTCTCACCACCTCAAATTCATCCCAGAAATTCAACTCAACCACTTCTCTCGCATCCCCCTTCTTGGGATTATTTCCACCACATCCAGGTAGGTTTGTTCTCCTGTAAGAAGTGAAAACAGGGCAAGCCATATTTGATAACAGTTGATGATTGATAGAGGTCTCATAATGAGAAATCCGAAGTGTTGAACCTTTTTTAATAAAACAATCAAATTACAACAAATATCAAATGGGATCAAGGGATTCACATGAATAAAAGGAGAAAGAAATACATTAATCACCTAAAAGTATTTGATTTGGTCAAACAAGCTTAAAAACCAACCCCTATAATTTCTAAGATCTTGTGCACCCGATGGGATGTTTGGGGAACTTCTCCACTTCAATTTGCATCTCATCCTGTATGTTTCCTGCCAAATAGGATATCTTTAAGGCCACTTTGGTGCCTTGTCTGGATATTTTTATTGTTTTTATAAGAAAAATGCTTCTTGATAGAGGAATCAAGAATTCACACATATTAGTCCCTTCACATGGTTAAGGGACACATGGTGCAATTTCATGGAGGATCTGGAAAAGGATACAAGGGATAGGTAACTAGTAGATCCAGAGTACAAAGATCTTGGATCTAATCTCACTTTTGTCTGGTTGGGCGGTTTTGGGATTCAGGGACATTGTATAGATCATTGATATTATATACTTGATTTCAGTCAATTGAAACCAACACGTTCATTGTGAAGGAATTGGTAGAGTGGGAGTACAAGAGCAAGAACAATGGTAAGATGCATGCCTGCGGTCATGATGCACATGTAACAATGCTTCTTGGTGCAGCTAAGTTACTCCAACGACAAAAAAATGAACTCAAGGTACAAAAGAACTATACAGGCTTATTGCATAGCTTTAGACTTTTTAAGGTTCAGTGGTTTCATAATTAGTTTGTTGTCCTTTTGAAGGGCACAGTGAAGCTTGTTTTCCAACCAGCAGAGGAGGGCAGGGCTGGGGCTTACCATATGTTACAAGAGGGTGCTCTTGACAATATTCCTGCAATCTTTGGCTTACATGTACTACCATCATTGCCTAGTGGCACTATTGCTTCAAAACCCGGTCAATTGCTTGCTGGGTCTGGCCGGTTCTTGGCTATAATTCAGGGAAAAGGTGGGCATGCAGCAACTCCACACAAAACCACAGACCCCGTTCTTGCAGCATCCTTGGCAATCCTTGCACTTCAACAGATCATATCCCGAGAAACAGATCCTCTTGATAGCAAAGTAACTTTATTACCCTTTCTATTTCCCTTTCTTATTTGTTAATGTTTTCCAAGTTTCAATCCTACCAAAAAAGCATAGCTCATGATCCTTGGTTTCCAACTATATAGGTGGTCTCAGTCACATTCATAGAAGGTGGCCAAGCAGGAAATGTGATTCCAGAAGCAGTAAAATTTGGAGGCACCTTTAGGAGTATGACCTCTGAGGGTCTCTGTGACCTTCAAGAAAGGATCAAAGAGGTGCCAAAACACTCAAAACCTTTTGACTTGATATTTATGTACATTTTGAGTAATATATCAATTGAAGTGGGATCCTTATTAGTTAGAAATATGGAAAGCACCTTTTTATATTAGTTATTGCTTGGTGCTGTAACAGAACTTGATGGGAACATATTCTTTCTGCAGGTCATAGAGACACAAGCAGCTGTACATCGGTGTACTGCAGTAGTCGACTTCATGGAGAAGGAACGAAGACCTTATCCAGCAACTTTTAATGATGAAGAAATGTACGAGCATGCAAAAAGGGTTGGTGAGAGTTTGCTTGGGGAACCATATGTACAACTTAGTCCAATGACCATGGGAGCAGAGGACTTTAGCTTCTATTCACAAAAGATGGCCACTGCATTGTTCTTGATAGGGATAAAGAATGAAAGTGTAAAATCAGATCAACCCCTGCACTCACCACATTTTTTTATTGACGAGGATGTTCTTCCCATAGGAGCAGCTTTCAATGCAGCTGTTGCAATTACTTATTTGGATAGCCATGTTGCTGACACTCATTAGATACCCTGATTGTTTTTCACTCTTGGAAATAACAATGTCAGGGAGTGGTAAAAGAAATGCTCAGATTTGAGTAATCAGAGTTCATGCTGAAGCAGATGTTACAACTCTAAATGCATGATTACCAAGTTTTCTCAAGAACCCAGTGAAATAGAACTGGCATGACAATCCATCAAAATGTTTGTCTATATGCTCCACAGAACCCCTGATCAAACTGGGAGTCTGTATTTGTACTCAGTCTGAACCAGATATTTGAAATTCACTGAAGTAGTCATCTAGCTAGCAACATTTATAGGCTGAAATACAGAGAAGCTTTGAATTGTAGTGCTTTAGCCCAGGCTTCAGTCTCACTCAGAGCAGTATTCGACAAGATGGAGAAACCAGGATTAAAAACCAGAGTGTACGCATCAAAAGCCTGGAGAAGATAAGCAGGTTTAGTTAAGCAAGTTGGCAGGTGGTACCAAGAACTATGTAGAGCTAATGTATATTGTCATGTTTAATGGCCTCTTATAACCTCTATTTTTTTTTTTTTTCTTTTGTTTTGGCTCCTGTCGTAGAAAAGATAAAGCCCCATAAGTTAAAGGCAAAAATCATGGTAAATGATTTGCACCATCCTATGCAAGTGCATAAATATGAGTGTAAAGAAACTCTTCATTCTCCTACTGTATCTTCTACATTTCCCACTAGAAACCATCTATGTGTGTCAACTGAGAATCTAGACGTATGGTTATTTATGTACAATTGGAAAATCACCATTTGGTAGGAGCACAGAGAATACCTCTGAGTGATTAAAAGACATAAAAGCAATGTTGAAACTCACTGTTCGTGTAGATCTTCTAATGATATAAAATTTCTTAAAAAAGTAAGATTTACAAAGGACTTGATATTGGCTTGCAGTTAAATTAGAGAAAATTACAGCAGCCACCATTCTCTGCTGCCGATATGAATTCAAAGTTCAACCAATCAGCTGAACAAGGAACTGATAACCAAAACCTCAAGATATTGAATACAGATGAAGACTTTTAAGAATCCCAAATCAGTAATGATCCTCTGACCTTAGACGTAAATTCCATGGGAAAACATGTTCTCAAAATGGTTGTCCAAACTCCTAACCAAGTTACAAGTCCATGGTGATAAGCCAACTGCCATGCAAGATTTAAATCTGATCTATTTGAAGTTTATATCCTCAGGTACAGTTCTGGCTTGAAAAGCTCTACAATTTGGTTATGGAATGGCTCAGTATGGAACCAAATCTCACAAATCATGAACGCCATAAGTTACTGGTACAAATGGGAGAAGAAACCAGAAAAAGATTGCATCCTTCAAAACTAAATCCAACTGCAACCAGGTATCTTTCTAACTCCCCTCTCCCTCATCTTGTGTCTCACCTTAGAAACATCAAGCCACCGGTCTGCTGCTGCATAAATGTTTGATAGCAATACATAGTTACCTGCATTTAAAGGCTCAAGCTCAAAAAGTCGGCCAGCTACCACCTCTCCAATCTCAATATTTCCATGTAACCTACAAGCACCAAGCAATGCACCCCAAGCACCAGCATGAGGCTCCACAGGCATTGATTCTATGAGATGATAAGCTGCTTTTAATTGTCCAGACCGGCCAAGAAGATCAACCATACAGGCATAGTGATCTGGAGAGGGAACTATGGAGAAGTCATTTTTCATAGAATTGAAGTACCGGTATCCCTCTTCGACAAGGCCTGCATGACTACAAGCTGTCAGGACAACTGTGAAGGCCACGTTGTCCGGGGTCAGGCCTTCGTCCAACATCCGATCAAAGAGATGAACAGCCAGGGTCCCATACCCGTGCATTGAAAGACCTTGGATCATTGAACAATAGGAGATCAAGTCACGCTGTGGCATGTCTTCAAATAAATGAGATGCCCTTTCCATATTCCCGCACTTTGCATTCATATCTATAAGAGCTGCATTTACATGAACTTGACTTAGGTCGATTAAGCTCTGGGTCACGTAGGAATCAATCCATTTGGCTAGCTCCAAACTACCAACTTGAGAGCATGCAGACATTAAGCTCACCAATACAAATTCATCAGGTTTAACGTTCTGCGCATGCATCTCAAGGAAGATTTTTACAGCCATATGAGGCTGACCATTCTGACTATATCCAGCTATTAGTGCCGACCACGCTACAATATCTCTAACAGGAGACTGGTCAAATAGAAGTCGCGCAGAAACCATGTCACCCGCCTTTGCATACCCATCAATCAAAGAAGTGAAAGAAACCACATTCCTCTCTGTCATTTCATCAAAAAGCCTTCGAGCACTTTCCAAATCACCAAATTTCAAATAGCCACACATCATTGCATTCCAGGAAGCGAGATTCCGATAAGGCATTTCATCAAACATCTTCCTAGCTGCAACTAAATCTCCAAACGTCAAATACCCAACTATCATGGCCGTCCAAGAAACCTCATTTCTCTCGAACATCCCATCAAAGACCTTCCGAGCACACACAATTTGACGACACTTCCCATACAAATCAATCAAACTCGTCCTAACAAAGATATCTGCTTCAACTCCGTATCTCACTACCGAACCATGAATTGCCTTTCCTTCCCTAATGGCCAACTCATTCGAGCACGCCTTTATCAAAGAGGGAAACGTATATTTGTCAGGAACCGTTTCCGACCGCTTCATACGATTAAAAATCGAAATTGTCTGAATCACAGACGAGTTCCCGCAATGCCCTCTGATGACTGAGTTCCAGAGATAGATATTAGGCCGAGAGACACGATTGAAAACGCTCGTAGCGTATCGGATGTTAGAGAATGAGTTACAGAGACAAATGAACTGGTTTATAAGAAAGTTATCTTGTTCTACGCCCTTCTGAACGATCTGCGCATGTACCTGTTCAAGATTTCGGATTGTTTTGCATGCTTTCAGGAGAGTTGAGATGGAGACGGGGAAAGCAGATGATTTGCGTTTCGGTAATTTATCGGGCGACGGCAATGAAGAAGAACGACTGAAAAAGCTCATAGGGCGAAAGGGAGTGTGACATTGCTGTTTATTCTTCTACTTTTAGTCTCACTCCTGAGTCCTGACGACTCTCAGTCCTTCACGTCTCAGTTTTTTGGGTTGCATATGCATTTTGTTTTGAATTTTTGAGTCTGAGAGTTTGGTCCGCGGTAGGGTTGCAAATGGATCAATCAAATCGGATGTGGGTAGCTGATTCACGTGTATTCGGATCCGATTCGAATTGTAATAGGATTTTAATAGCATTAACAAATTGAACTCAAAATTCTTTCCAAAACAAACTTGAACTCAAAATGAACAAAGTATTATAGGTGTTCAGGTTTTTTTTTTTTTTCAAACTCTCCCCTTCTCTTATCTTCTATGTTTTAGCATGTGAGATGGTTAGTCAGCATCCCCCAACAATTGGGATTTCCTCTTCATAAAATTGGTCCTCGGACCTGTTCATGGGTCGGGACAGGTTCAGGCCAGGCTTTGTATATGTATCAATATAATACACTCAGGCTCGAGCCTAAGCTCGGCTTGACCATCGGGCCTAAGTCTTGAGTCCGAGCCCGACCAAAAATTTGAAAATATTTTTTTTTTCTTTTTTTATTCAATAAAAAGTGTTTTATTTATATTAAAAACCTTTAAAACTCAAAAATAATAAATATTTCACTATTACTTGGAAAAAAAAGAGAAGAACAAAAAAAATTGTATATATATTTTTTATTAAATAAAAAATATTTTTATTATTTAATATATAGTATCAGGTCGGGCTCGAGTCGAGCTTTTTTGAGAAAGCCCGAGCCCGAGCCCGTAGGCCTAAAATTATGACCAAGCCTAACTTAATAACGGGTAGGGTCGGGCCAGCCTGTCAGGCTACCCGGCCCCTAGTCCTCACACCACTTCACCCCTAATAAATAAATTGGATCAATTTCACCACCAAGTAACTTGTCTAAAAGAAATCATTGGTTTACTCAACAATCAAATGATGCAATCCATTGAACCATTGAGGGTTGGATCATTTGATCTGGGCAAAGTTAGATATTAATTCTCTTTTTTTTCTTTTTTTTTTTTTTTGGTATTTATAGTCAGTCCCATCTTTAATAAATGTTTTATTTTTATTTATTACACCTAGGTATAAGACTTAAATCTCTCTTGAGATATCTCCTAAATACTAAAACAATCCCTCTATTTTTTGATAGTTTTTTTCTCGAAGGGGTTACACAACAGGATAGCCCATCCCCCAAACCCATAACCCCAACCAGGTGTAGGAGGGATTCGATATTTCGATCCCAACTCTCCACTACAACCAACAAGAGACCTTACCAACCAATCATCTGACACCTTGCAACCCCTCTATTTTTAAATTGGACTAAGACATGGTTTTTGAACCATCGTTGACTTGAATGGTTGGATTCAGCCTGGGAACCATCCAGGCAACCGATTCTGTTTTACCCCAAACTTAGTCCTTGGTCAAAAACCGTTGAATCGATCAACAACCCATTGACTCAAGTTATCAAACTGTTGATCCATTCGACCCGTTCAATGGTTTTTTGCCTTTTTTTTATTTTTTTTGTCAAAACTAATCGTAGGGATGACAATTTTCCCTATTTCCCAATCCCCGTGGGGATCTACCCTAAATGAGATGGGGATGAGGATGATTTTCCCCCTGCGGGGACGGGGATGAGGAAATTTTCATCCCCGTTAGTGGGGATGGGGAGGAGACGGGGAGAGCACTCCCCGCCCCGCGGGGACCCCGACCCCCGCCCCATGGGATCCCCACTAATATATATGTATATATGTATGCATACATTATATATGTATATATGTACACATGCATCTATATATTAATATTTTTAAAATATGGTTGAATATGTTTGAATATTTTCTAATAAGATTGTAAATTTTAATTATTTTATTTTTATTTTTTTCAATAAAAACAAAATAGTTAACATTATAAAAATCATGAAAAATGGGAATTCCCATGAGGACAAGGATGGGGATAACCTTATCCCCGTTAGTGAGGACGGAGATAGGGACGGGGATCTCCCCATCCCCGCCCCGCCCCGCCCCCTTGCCAATCCTACATTGGAGTAAAACCTCCCATGCAGATGATGTCATCACAAAAACACCTCTCGTCATTTAACAAACTGTCAAAAACCGTTTGCATGTACATAAGGCCTTTTATCATTGGTGGCTAAATTTGGACAAAGGACCAAATTTTAGCCCTAATGTTCTAAGAACCATTACCTGCTCGTGCCTGGCATGAGACATTCCAATGAAGGAGAGGTGGCGGTGGGGTATCAATATCAATCGGTGCAATTCACCAATTCCACCAGTAAGTATTGCACCGTATAAGTGGTTCGTGAGTAGATATGTTATCCATGAATATGAATATGGACAGAAAACTGACTGATGATTGAATAACATTTCATATCCATGCGAGTCCGGAGGATCTGCTGCACTTAACTTGGTTTTGCACTTCCTGTCTGTCCTGTGATCTAATACACATACGCATGGGTATTAACGTGTAATGAGACAACTGTTGCAGACAGAATGGAAATGTAGAACAAGTGCAGCAGATCCTGGTTTTACTTTTATCCATGCATATCTCACTTCTTCTACCATATCAAGTATTTCACTTTATATACACTATCAATATACTTCTTTATCTGTGTATACCCTGTTTATAGTTATTTGACCTTGGAAAGCTATCACAGTTTCGCCCAAACAAAAAGCCTCAAAGAAAGCAATAGAAGGCCCTCTGTACAAGGTCAACAAATTGGCTAACATAACTTCAAAGTAAATCAAAATTAGGTGTTCAAAAACCGACCCAAAAAGATGATCCCTTCTGAGTTCCATTTCATTTTCACCAGGCAAACGCTTAGAAAGCAGGAAGCTGCCAGAACACTTTCAAAATCCTAAACATAATTTACAAAAGGAAATTCAAAAATTTGGAGGAAAAATTTGACACAGGCGATCTGCCAAACATTGGATGATCAAGATCCTTCCTGTCAGGACATGCTCTTTAGTCTTTACCATGAAGTGAGACAGGGAAACCAAGTCAGCGATCCAATGAATGGCCCTCCTATAAAGCTCCAATTCCAAGTGTTACTTTACTATTCTCCAGTAACATCTTTCTTAACCGAAGGGGCATATGGAACTGTATTAGATTTACTTGTTTCTAGGGCAAGGGAGTTGGTGCCACATTGTGCCTCACCCCCATTAAATTCAAGCTTTGCTCGTGTAATTTCTTCAAGATCTGCATGCACCAGAAAAGACACCAATGTTATTGTTGCAGTAACCATAAAGCACAATGATTTTGCTACTTGCAGATGTTCAAATGCATGGGGTACATCACATCTCGGTGGATTTCTTTCAACAGATAAGAAAAATATCACTTGCACCAAATAGCAAGTATTATCTGGGTAGACTGCAGAGATGGTCCAATGTCCAATGACAGGGCAGGTTTAAAAATTAAATACATCAAATCAGGGTCGCCATTCTACATCTATAGAAAATTCATCCAACCAGATGATTATAAGCACTTTACAGATGCTGACCATCTTGTTTTTAGTTGTCACAAGAATGCAATTGGATTTATACGTGTTAATGATATTCAAAGAAATTTCGGCATACCTAGATCAGCTGAGATGAGTGATTCTCCTTGGTAATTGGGCCCAGCCAAAATGGCCCCTGAAGGTGAAATAATGACACTGCCCCCAGAACAGACAACTGAATCTGGTGGCATATCACTCTTTTCATCTCCGGGCATATGTTCACCTGGAAGAGGATAGTCTTTCCTCTGGCAGAACTGATTTGCAGATAGAATGAAACATCCACCTTCTAGGGCAATGTGGGCCAGGGATGACCGCCATAAATCACTGGCATCAGATGTAGGCGCACAATAGATCTCCACACCTATTTATCAAGTAATAACACAGGAAGACTCAAGACAAGAACGACAAACTAAAAGGCCATTTTGTAAGGAAATGTGAAAAATAAAAACCAAATAATAGCAATAGACACAGTAAACAAGCCAACTAACCAGACTGCTAATCAATAGACACAGTAAACAAGCCAACTAACCAGACTGCTAATCAATTTCTTCTCACAAATAACTTGAAGAGCAAAAACATTAACCAGTTAGATCAATCACGGGATCAATCTCATTTCTCTGACAGTTAGGAACCAATTTTTAGACAAATATTGTAAGGTGATTTTAATAATCCACCTAGATTGATTTTATGGTAGCAGACCGAAGTGAGATAACAAAGTCTAGTCTCCCCTAACAGACAAAAAGAAAAAATGTTTGCCACCATTTAATATGGCTATTTCATCAGTGGAGTTTGCCAAGGCTGGTATCATGTGATTGGATGGAAAATGGTGCTATGAGAACAGTATGATGATATTATTAATCGCTAAAAAGGGCACCCTAGTCCACGAGGATCCACCACTGCAGGGTCTGGGGAGGGACAGATGCATGCAGCCTTACCCCTGCATATATAGAGAGGCTGTTTCCATGATATTATTTATCACTCCCCAATAAAAAAAAAAAAAAAAAAAAAACTTCAAACATCAAGACTGTGTTTGGTTTGATAGAAAATAAGAGAAAAACATAAAGCTGAGGGAAAGTTCTTGGGGAATTTCACAAAATTCCGTAAGAAATTTCCCTCAACTTTCTGTTTCTCTTGTTTTTCATCAAACCAAACATAGCCTAAATACATGTAAGAAGAAAACTCTGTTTCTCAGGTTTGATTAGCCAGCATGTCATTTATTCTTTTTGACAGGTTTCAGTCAAACTTTTAGCTGAAGCTTAATTATTTCCACCAAAATGTTTCTAACTCATTGGCAACTCAACTGGAAATTCCTCAAGGTCAATCTTCAATAAGTTTCAGTCATTCCGCTTTTATATTATCATCATCATCCATGTCTTATCCCAACTATATGGGGTCGGCTATATGAATCCTGTTTCACCAATCCATTCTATTTAAAGCCATATCCACTGTTAAATTATTAATGCTTAAATCATTTCTTACTACTACCCATGTCCTTTCCAGTCTACCCCAAGCTCTTCTAGCCCCTTCAATGTGTAACAAATTACTTCTTCTAACTGGTGTAGTCAGCAATCTCCTATGCATGTGCCCAAACAGCCAAACCATCTTAGTCTACTCTCTCCCATTTTATCACCTATTGGAGCTACTCCTAGGTTCCTATGGATAACTTCATTCCTAATCCTATCCTTTCTAATTTTTCCACTCATCCATCTTAGCATTCGCATTTCTATCACATTCATTTTCTGGACATTTTGTTCCTTGGCTGCCCAACACTTTGCTCCATACAACATATCTGGCCTCACAGCTGTTTTATAGAATTTTCCTTTTAATCTAGGTGGTATTCACCTATCACATAAAAGTCCAAATGCACCCATCCATTTTGCCCATCCTGCTCTAATTCTTTGGGTGGCATCCTCCTCAATCTCCCCCTTGTTATGAATTATTGAACCAAGGTACCAGAAATGGTCACAATGAGTTATTTCTTGGTCTCCAATCCAAAGTATATCTTGACTTACACTCCTATTATTACTAAATTTACATGTCATGTACTCTGTTTTAGTCCTGCTTATTTTAAAACCTCTTGTTTGTAAGGCATTTGTCCATAAGCATTTAATCCTTCATTAGTTTCATCAATCATGTCATCCGCAAACAACATGCACTACGGAACTTCCTCCTAAATATGTTTAGTCAACATGCACCAGCCATCCATCTTTCTCTCTCATATAACAGAACAGGGGCTCCTTTTTTGTATGTTTTTCCTTCATTGTTCTTTCTATCCTTCTGTGTTAGATCTTAGATCTTTTATTAGTTAAAAAAATTATAGCCTTCTTTAGTTGCTAATATTTTTTGACATGCAATCGCTCTATCAAATACTTGTTATATTGCAATATTGTGTTTAAAATATTAAAATTAATAGATTAAGAATGCAATTCTCTTTTCGATACAATCATGAAAATTGGGTCTAACCGTCTAAGTGGAGGAATTTGATCAAGGTATGTGTTACCACCACAGCACCGCTTTGTTCTCTATATTGGTGAATGGGACAGAATGTGGCAGTTTCAAAAGCTCAAAAGGAATACAGTAAGGGGACCCACTTCCCCCTTTTTGTTCATATCTGTGGTAGAAGCTCTCAACAGAATGGCTAAAAGGGCTTTTTTTTTGTGGGGGGGTGGGGGATTTAAAGTTTTACAGCAAGAAATGAGAGGGTGGAAGTAGCTTTGCTACAGTATGCAGATGGCACACTCCTCTGTGACGCCTCACAAGAGTAGTTGTATCATGTCATGGTTCAAAGTAGTGTCTGGTTTGCATGTGAACTTGCATAAAAGCAAACTAATAGAGTGGGGGAGATCCAAGGGTTGGCTCTTCAGACAGAGAAGTGGGGATGCAAGGTGGGAAAGGTACCTTTAAAATAATCGAGCATGCCTTTGGGTGCAAATGCAATTCCAAAGATATTTGGAACCAGTAGTGGAAAGAATTGACAGAAGATTGGCTTCTTAGAAAGCCAAATATCTTTCTTATAGAGGCAAAGTGACATTGTTGAAAAGTGTGTTATCTTCTCTTCCTATGTATCTGCTTTCAATATATCCAATCCCAGCAAGAACAACTGCTAGCAAGAACAACTGCTATCATTTAAAAGAAAATGAGGAATTTTCTATGGAGGGGCTGGAAAGAAGAGAAAAGATTTCATTTAGTTAACTGGAACAAGGTTTGCAAACCAAAATACAAAGGTGGTTTGGGACCTTTGGGTATGAGGTGAATAAAGAATATGAATGTAGTTCTTTTGGGGAAATGATCCTGGAGATTTGGGAAAGTCAGGGTGGGTTGTGGAAGAAGGTGGTACAAGCTAAATATGAAGTTAGAAATTTGGGATAGGATCCCAAAACCTCAAATCAGTCTTATGGTTGCTCAGTTTTGGAAGGGAATTGAAAGAGCATATGATTATTTCTCGAAACAGATGAGCTTTAAAATCAGGGATGGAGCACGTGTGAAGTTTTGGAAGGATGCTTGGTGCAGAGATGGGCCTTTATCAGAAGCTTTTCCTGCTTTGTTCAAGCTGTCTGTTATCAAAGAAGCAACAGTTGCAGACTGTATGAAGCTACATAATGGAAGTGTGGTGTGGTCCCCGCAGTTCAGAAGAAAACTGAATAATTACGAGTTGGATGCTATTGTGGATACAGGTGAAGTGAAGAAACCTCGGCTGCCCTTTCTTATTGTGGCATTGGGAGAAGTGAGGAGAAATATTAGTGAATTCTTTTTACAATGCACTAAATGATCTAAACGAGAAGTCAATACCTGTCAATATCATTTAGAGTAAGACGGTGCCTTCAAAGGTAGCTTTTTGTGTGGATGGCTTATCTAAACAGAATACTTACAAGGGAAATCTCCTACAGAAGGATATGGCATTGGATTCAGTAGACTGTGTTTTATGTGAAAGGGCATTTGGAATCTCTAAACAAAATACTTACAAAGGATAATCCCCTACAGTAGGATATGGCATTGGATTCAGCAGATTGTGTTTTATATGAAGGAAATTTGGAATCTGTGAAATCATCTATTACATTATTGCATTTTCTCCTATGAAACTATGTTTTAGAGCTCCAGTAGATCTACAATTGATTATGCTTCCATCATGCTGATATGTGTGCATTAGTTACATCATCAAGATTAAATACAGGAACTCTGGAACTGGAATCAGTGATCATGATATAGTAACACACATAAACATTCAAACCCCTTAACAACAACACTGTAGATCAAATCCAAGTACCAAAGGTTTACCTCTAGCATAGAGTCCTGTTCTTAAAACTGGCATCCTATTATCCCAGCAAATGAGGCCACCTATCTTCCCAATGGAAGTCTCATATACAGGTGGTGTTGACTTGTCTCCAGAACACCAGACTGTATGTTCGGATGCTGTTCGCATGAGCTTGCGGTGTTTTCCAAGATACTCTCCATGGGGATTAAAAAAGACAACAGTGCAGTAGAGAGAGAATCCTTCCCTTTCTACCACCCCCATTACTAGATGGACTTTGTATCTTCCAGCTATTGCTGCCAGTCGTTCAATTTCTGGACCTGTTGTTATTAAAAAGATAAAATAAAACAAAATAAATTCAAATGACAAGATTATTAAATCCATTTATGATTTAAAGACAAGAAGGGAAGGATGAATTAGAGTTATGATTGACAAGCAAAACTATATAGATCCCTCTCTCTCTCTCTCTCTAAGAGAGAATGCTCCTCTCAAGTGGTCAAGCCCCCACTAAAATGGAGGTCAAATAATGCATTTATAGATGAATAGGTGTAGCTTTCTAGGTGTGGATGAATTGGAGGTCAAATGGGTATTTATAGATGAATTGGTGCAGTTTTATTCAGCTTTCTAGGTGTAGGTGTAGGATTAGAAATTAGGGTATATTCCATATAAACCCTGTTGTGCCTTGAGGGGAGTCACAGATCATGAGTTGCCAAAACCCAGGGAGCTTGTGTACACATACACGCGCGTGGGACTTACATACAAGAGATGGACACCACTTACAACCCAAAAGCCTAAGCTATTGGGTAATGGACCACTCTTGTATATAAGTCCCTTGCAGTTCTTGTGATTTTCCAATGTGGGGCTCTTCCACTCCTCTTAACTCACACGTGTATCCCAACAAACCCACTGAACTAGAACTAAGCCAGCACTTTGGACCACATATGAGAGACACTTCCTAAACCAATCCTAGATCTCAAAATGGAATATTTTGTGGTTTGGTTGTCAAACCAAGGGGAAATGGGTAAAAGTTGGTAATCCAACATTTTCTACTCAACTAGTTCACCAATTGGTTACGTCAAGTTAAGAAACCTTTGATGAAAAGATACCAGCTAAGATTCTTACAAACATAACAAACCACAATCATTAAATGGGCAGACCAATGCACAGGGCTCCCACCAATGCAGGGCCTGGGGAGGGACAAATGTACACAGCCTTACCCCTGCACATACAGAGAGACTGTTTCCAAGATTTGAACCCTGGTCACCCAGGCCACAATGGAACAACCAAATGGTTGGGGTCAAGAATATGTTGGTAGAGTCCAAATTGTCATTTTAAAGCCAGGTCACATGGCATAAAAGTTACCAAAAGAGAATTGTTTTCTGATCAGGGTCAAATGGTCAACCTTTTGGAAGAAATTTGTAAGTGCACTTTATGAGTAGAAACTAGCTGAATGAAGGGTTTAGATGAGTGTGGTAGGGGTTGCATGGGTTGAAGGGCCTAGTAGTGAGCCACCAAGGTTCTAGTGAGCAACACATGTTTTGATAGAGAATTATTCCTAGGTATCCTGGCAAAAATTGGGTGCTAACACCATATTCCTAGTTTCCATAGGTAGAGAAATTTTTTGGGGGAATTGCATCACTACTGCATGTAAACGAGTCAATGTAAAAGTAGTTTTATCCAACATCCAGTCATGCTATTCCACACATATCTAAATAAAGTACATTAATTTGCAAACATTTTAAGGTGATAAAGTAATAGGGTAATAGTTTATAGGAGTACATGTTCAAACCTTGCAGAATTAATAGGGCATTTCATATATATGCACTTGCACACACATGCTTCATGGGCATTCCTGACATATGGAGATTTAAGTTTAGGAACTCTGAACTCCTTTACCCACAAATGTCCACCTTGTATCGGAATTTTGCTGAAACTATTATAGCCATGCAAACCATCAATACTAAAATGCCCCTAAAAAAAGGTTTTTGGATACTTGACAAGCTTTACCTGAAGTTTATCCTAAGGATAAAAAATGAAGAGAAGAATGGAAGGTTCTTTTGGGCCTGGCATGTTGCCATATGGAAGATCCCCCAGTTGTTTATTCTCCTAACAACCTGACTAGCAAACCCTCACACACACACACACACACACACACACACGCACACACATGTACCTGCACCTAAATGGAAGATCCCCCGGTCATTTATTCTACTAGAAACCTGACTACTCGAACACGCCGCACACCTACTCACTCTAATATGTGTGTACTCATGCAAGCATGTCTGTATGTATTCATATACATGCATGAATGTGATACAACGCACAAAAAAATTATCTATGTTGCAATGAAACATCTCTTTCTCTAAAAGAAGATCGCACCAGGAATTTCCACAGCTGCAGCATGATACTTCTGCAACTCCATGTTTCCCTCATTGGGATAGGTTCCAGCAGCAACATCAAAACATGAAGAACGGGGATAACCACCCACAAATGCTTCTGGAAAAACAACTATCTGTGACCCATATGCAGCAGCACCAGCAATCAGTCTCTCTGCCTTATCTGCTTACAAGAACAAAGAAAGGATTTTATTAAATTAATAAAATAAAGGCTTGTAACCCCTAAAAACTCTCAACTCAGAATGGAATTAGCTTCAAGCAATTCAAAATATTGAGCATATTGAAAAACTACTTTTTATTTATAGCAACCAAAAGGAATAAACTACATTTTGATAATAGGTGTTCACCCTGTGAACTACTAGTACATTGTGCTAATATTGTTAAGCCTGCAAAACCATTATTACAACAGAACTAAAGCATAAATAATGATATGCCACAGGTATACATGTGGAGTTGTCTCCATCATATTCTTAGGCCAGTTTCTGTAATGTTCATTCAATTAATTGCCTTAATGAATTGACAAAAGTAAAGAAGATATTTTTTAATCAATAGCAACAAGCTTTATTAATTAAAAAACAATATATAAAGATTTCAATCAGAGATTATAGAGCACAATAGGAGTTATCTCCCTCACCCCAAATTTACAACTGTACCCAAAACAACTGATCCCAAGTTCCCAACCCACCCCTTGCATGTTCCTTTTTAGCCACCTGAATTTAAAGTCATAAAATTATATTGACCTAAACACTCAGACTATGATGGTAGAATCAAACATGGTGTCAGAACATTCCACCGATATCCAAAGAAAGTAATGCCACTCTATGAGAGTCGCATTCAATAATTTCAAGACCCTCTTAGAATTGTCATTTTTTTTATTTCTTGAAAATAAATACAATGACCTTAGTATTAACCATTAAGTGTCTGGTTCACCTTGGAAAGTACAACATGGTTTTCCCATTAAAATGTTGTCAATTTTTAAACTCCTAACTCCCACTAGTTCCTTAATTCTATATCTCCTTGATCTTCCCTTGATCAACTACTACATTAATTGTCAAATATAAGGCATTTTAACAACAATTTAAAAAACAATCTGGAAACAGAACAGCTTTTTCCCTCTAGGTGATAGGTCAGTGGTTCAACCATCCTTGTCTAACAGGTCAACCCATGACAGGATAAATTAAAGAATAGAAATAGAAATAGATAAAATGCAGAAAAATACAAAAGATAACAGAAATTTTGTAGAAAAAGTGGGCAAGTCTCTAGTATTATATATTCATCATATTAATAAAAAGTAAGTGTGATAAATGAGAATTATTGTTATTAATAATGGAAATGGATAAAATACCCAAAAAAAAAACAATTGAGATTAAGGTCTAACCTGTGACCCACTGACCAGATCAAACAATTCAGCGGTTCAACTGGCTTGGTCACCGAATTGTTAACTGAGTGATTTTGCAAATAAATTATTCAAGAGCTAAATGTACAGGGAAAATGTCTAGGTGGTTGGCCAATCAACCACAGGTTGAAAACATTACATTTTAATTAGGGTATTAAGTGGAGCAGGTTGACCTGAAACATGGATTTCCTATGTTGCATCCATCAAACTTGAATATTCAGATCTTTTGAGAACCATTTGAAGCCCCTGAACTCATTTTTGAGCTGCCAAATCACCCATTCACCTTTTCTCAGCCATCCTACAACAATCTTTGAGTCACCTTCAATGGTCAGCCTGCCAATTCCCATTTCTTTAGCTTCCTCCACCCCATAAACTGCTGCTAGAATTCTGCTCTTACTGAGTCCCCTTGCTCAATTGGGCCCGAAAATAAGGCCCGGAATAGCACCACTCTCATCCCCGATTACCCCCCTGGTGCCTGAGGGCCCTGGATTACTCATACTGTTGGCATCAAAATTCAGTTTCCCCCCCGTCCCCGCCCCCAGGGGAAGACTAAACCTCCAAATTTTTTTGTTTTCTAGAGGAAGAATCAACTATGCCCCCACAGCTTCTGAAAAAGTCATCCACCTTGAAATCCAAGAACAGAGTCAGAGTTTTGACCCAGTGTGCCACTCTTGAGTTATGATTTCAATAACTGCTTCCTTACTCCTCTCCTTTTTCCCCAAAAATTCACATGTTTCTTCATCCACCTTGAAATCCAAGAACAGAGTCAGAGTTTTGACCCAGTGTGCCACTCTTGAGTTATGATTTCAATAACTGCTTCCTTACTCCTCTCCTTTTTCCCCAAAAATTCACATGTTTCTTTCTTCCCAGACTGTCCACATCACTGCTGCTCTCATACGTCTCAATAAAAGCTCACCCCTTTTTTCCTACTTCTCAATTGGGGCTAAACAACCACTCCAAACTGTCAGGAGGGGTCCCACTTGCACTCAAAAAGGGAAAAAAAACCATTCCCAGATACAGCAAACAAAGGGACAGGAGATTAAGAGATGAAAAGTAGTATCACCATTCAACTTACATAAACAACACCAGTTGGAGGTCAGACCAACTTGGTCTTTTCCTTTGTAACCAACCACAAGTGTTAATGCAACCATTGGAAAACTTCCCAATAGAAAGCACAGATCTTCAAGGGAGTAGGGAAGCACCAGATTTCCTTAACAAGAAAGGAGGGGGAAGAGGAGTTGGAAACAAGGGACTTAAAAAGGATTAATAGGAGAAGAACCCACCCAGGTTAAGAGACCACACACAGGATACAATTGGAGATCCAAATAAAGGAAAGAAATATTTCCCAACACAAGATACAATTGATTAGAGATTGAGAAATGGAAAATATTTTCACCATTTGCTATACATAGTAGACACATGTGAGGTGAGAGATACCATAGGCATGATTATCTTTGGTTCTTTTTTTTTACTGCCTAAGACTCTACCCCATATTTAGTGGTATTCTCCTACCACATAGGACTCCAAATGCACCATATCCACTTTGCACACCCCACTCTAATTCTGCATTCTCCTTGATCTCTCACTTGTTATGGTTGTCGAACTAAGGTTATGAAAAAGGGGTGGCATTGAGATACCTCTTGGTCTCCAATCCTAATTGTACCCTAATTTCTATTTTACATTGCATATATTTTGTTCCAACCCTACTTATTTTAAAATCTCTTGTTCCTAAGACATCCATCCATAATTTTTTTCCTGGTAATACATTTGCCCAAAAGTCTAATCTTGCACATAATCCCTTTCTAGTTTCATTGATTAATGCTATTAATCAGAAAACAATGTAGACCGCAGGACCTCCTAAATATGTTTATTCAATTCATCCATGACCAATGCAAATAAAGGGGCCAAGTATTGAGCTTTGGTGTAGTCACATCGTATTTGGAAGCTTTAATGTCTCTCCTATAGGTGGTCAAACATTAGTTTTTATACTCTCATGCATGCCCTTTTTTTATTGGAAACGGTAACTTTCATTAAGGATATCAAATAAACATCTTACACTGTCAACCACTCAAACAAAGAGTGCTGACCCCAAAATAACATCGAGTTACAGTACAGCCCAAAAAAGTTTTCCCTAAATGTCCCATGTTTTGCCAAGCTATCTGCCACAGAGTTTGCTGATCTCCTTACCCATTTGAGTGTTACTTCAACTTCCCTTGTCAAGCAGATTATTTCCCTTATTTGCTGTCTAAATTTCCATACACCCAACTTCTTTGTTTGCAACCACCCTATTAACAATTTGGAGTCCCCTTCCACCTCCAAGTTCTGAAATTCCCATTGCTTAGCAAATCTCAGGCCTTGTAGGAGAGCCAATATTTCATCTCTCAAAGAGTCTCCCACTCCTATGGGACCAGAGTATAGTGCCACAATTCTTCCCTCCCCATCCCTAAAGACTCCCCCAGCTCCCGAGGGTCCAGGATTACCCATGGAGCTTCCATCAAAATTTAGTTTTACCCTTTGTTGTGCTACGGGTGTCCAAGAAGGCTGAAGAATAGGCTGTCTGGTTGAAGAGTTTGCCTCTGCTGACCAACCCCTTTGTATATCATCCACTAAAAAGTCTTTAAATAAGTCACTTACTTTCATCCAATGTATGACTTTAATGGCTACACAGCCAATGATTTGTTTTGTTGATCTTTGTGCCCCTTGGAATATTATGTTATTCCTTTCTTCCCATAAAGACCAAAGAATGGCTGCTCTTGTTACCCTCCACATCACTCTTCCCCTTTTCTTTGATAGTAGAAAGAAACTTGGGTTGAAAAGACTTGTCACATCCGGGGGAGGGGTCCACCTGCAGCCAAATAAGGAAGAAAACCAAGTCCACACACAAGAAGCAAAGGGACAAGAAAGTAAAAGATGTGTTACTATCTCACCATTTACCAAACAGAGGCAACAAACATGAGGGGAGAGGCAATGATTCAGCCTCCTTTTTTGTAAATTATCCAGAGTATTAATTTTCTGGAGCACCACCTCCCAGCAAAAGGCTCTTATTTTTGGGGGTACAGGATTACACCAGACTTCCTTTGTAGGGAAGGAGCCTCCTAGGTGCGAGGATTGAAGGAGAGCGGAGAAGAAAGAAGCATAGGTAAAGGAGCCAGAAGGGGACTCTGACCAAATCCTACTGTCCTAACAAGAGAGGTCCAGGAATGTAGTATTAAGAAGGGAGATAAGTTTATCCACTAAGCCCATTTCATATTCCCTTAACCCTCTCCTTAATCCCAGATCCCAAGAGTTTTCATTAACAAGCACTGAAGAAATCACTCTTCCTTTGTTGAGGGACAAAGAATAGATAGGTGGAAACCTGTCTTTGAGAGGAATGCCCCCAAGCCAGATATCCTCCCAGAAACGTACTTTGTTACTCATACAAGCATCATACCCTTAATTGATGAATGGACTATTTAGTGTTCCTTTCATTTTTGGAACCCACCATATTTATCTTTCTAGGAACTCTATCATATGCTTTCTCCAAATCCTTATATGCAATGTGAAGATCTCCCATTCTCCCTTTATCCGAACATTCTATCAATTGTCTCTTTTTTTTTTTTTTTTTGAGGGAAGTAAAAGAGGCAAGTTGGCAAAACAACAACAAAAATGGAGTTCAATCACCAAAACAGATGCAAATATGAGCACTCTTCAGTGCTTTCTAGCATTGTTGGACTTTGGAGTTCAACACATACTCAACTATAAATGGGTAGAGAACAAGGTAGTTACCTAGTTTAACAAGTCTAAGCCATATACCCACCATATTTTCTTAATTTGCAAGCATTGTTTGATAGAAAGGTGAAAGAGCACATCAATAATCTGACATTTTGATGAAGAAATGGTAGGCCCAAATGTGTATGATGAGCAGTGACAAAAGTACCAATAAGGCCTTTTTTTCTGATGAACCCAGGAGATCGGGTTTTAGTAAGATCTTTCTTTTTTTTTTTTATCAGTAAGTAAGATCTTTCTGCAAACAGCATTAACAAGGGCCTAGTGAAAAAGCTGCTTGGTTCAAAGTATATGAACCAACAAAGTGCCTTCAAGGATAGAGATCTTTTGTTTGCAACTTTGCATGGTAGCTGGCACTTGACACTCACAATTTTCTGATATTTTACATCACTATTAGATACTCGGAAGTTATTTTTAGGACAGATGGCTTACCTAAGGAAATCATCATAATCTAAGCCTTGTCCCAACTAATGGGATCGGTTACATAAATCCTGTTTCACCATTCCATTCTGTTCAGTGTCATATCCATCGTTAAATTATGGATATTTAAATCATTTCTTATTACTTCCACCCAAGCCCTTTTTGGTCTGCCCAAGCTCTTCTAACCCCTTCAACTTGTAACAGATAACTTTTCTGAACAGTTGCTATATATGGTCTTCTATGCACATGACCAAACCCTCTCATCTTATCACCTATTGGAGCCACTCCTAGGTTCCTTCATTAACTAAGGATGCATATGAAATATTTTACATCATTGCTACATAGTGCAAGAGTATCCGATGCAAAGGATTTTTGGGACACCAACCCATTTGCAGTTTGTTGGGGCATCCAGAAAGAATGAGAGAGTGATTTATTAGGCGCTCATGTGCAGACGTGTGCTAATCTCTCCTTGATTCAATATTGGGAAATAAGATACTCTGACTGGGCAGATAGACCCACTCTTGGGGATCTATCATCTATGTTATTGTTACCTGGATATGGCAAGGACACAGATGGACACGTAATAGGATACAGAGTTTACTCTAGAAATTGAAGCATCAGACACAATATGGCACCATTTTACAGGCATCTTTCCATTATAGTTGGAGATGGCTTGTAAGGAAGTATTTTAAGTTGTGGAAAAATTGTACAGAACCTTTCTCTGAAATAAGAAGCTATCCAAAGATACCTATACTGATTAATTCTCTCTTACATATTAGTGGACTGGAACCTTCCATTATAATATTATCACCAAAAAAATGCAACCAAATACTGATCTGGCAAAATTGATCAGACACATTATGTGAAATATTCATTAATTGCTTAGACACATTCAAGCAAACACAAACCCGGGCCAATACAAAGAACCCTTTCCCACACACCTCTGGCCAAAAATCTAGGGACACCATCTGAACGGGTTGGTAACTGGATTCAGAAACCAGTACATGAAATCCCCTTCGGTTTGCCTCCAAAAACTCTCTTTCAGGCCCTTATTACTCCCCAATAAACGACTTTGAAGCCTTTGCATACCTTGGATCGCACACATATAACACTAATCAATTGTTAGACTGTTAGGGAAATTGACATATCCAGCTGGGGTTTTTCTTAATCTGCCGTATTATCTACCAAGCTCTTACTGTTTTTGATTTCTCAAAAGTCATCCCTGAACAATGTAGTTTCTCTAACATCTCAAACAGATACCCATTCAAACAACTAAATTCCCCCCTCCAAATAATTAGTCGATGCATTGAAAATAGCTTCATTTTGTAAATTAAGAACAAACAAAAATGAATTTTTACAAAAAGGGGTTCTCAAAAATAGAACAAGAAATTCGAGGAAGGTTCATCAAACACAAATATGCAGAAACCCAAAAAGGAAAAAGGTACCTAGAGTTGCCCGAGTGTCGTAGAACACGGTTGAGGCCTGCACAACAGTAGCGCGAATGGTCGGACGGGGACCAGGATGGTCAGTCGTCTCGGCTTTAACAATAGACATCACCGGTTCGTCGCCGTTAGAAACAGGCGCAGAATCAATAAACCTCCCGTTCACAGCATCTCTAGGGTAGGCAACACTGATGGGTTCGGGAACGAGAACAGAATCATCGGCCGAGTTCGCCTGCGAAACTTTCTTGGACGAGATGGTTTTCGGGGCAACAAGGTCGGGCCGGACCTGTTCCAAGAGCCAGAGAATCGTCTCGCCGCCGGTCTTGAGACCGAGTTCCTGTGTCAGGCGAAAGATGCCCGGAGCACAAGCGGCCGGAAGCCTGACCCTCCGATCACGCCCCTGGAATTTGGTATGTCGGTCTCGGCCCGAGATGGGTCGGCGGCGTTTCTTCTTTTCGGTGTTCTGAACCTCATCTTCGTGGGGCTGGGGCTCTATTTCAACATCCATTGCGATGCATTGAAGGTTTTCATGAACGTGAGCTGCAGTCCTCAAGTCGAGAGTACATTCCTCTGTTTCTGGGTTTTCCTTTATTAAGCCGCTGCCATGAAAGGAGTCCGGTTGACGACTTGGCGCTAAACAACTTACGGATTTCCGCCGTTTGCATGTGAAACAGAGAAACTTCTCGCGATCGGTACTTTAATGTACCACTCTGGTAGTAGGGCTGTTCCTGTTTGTGGGTCAATGGACCCGGTCTGATGTGGTCTAGTTTTGGACCGCCAGTTTTAGGCCCGAAACATTACTTGGATACCCGGATCAAAGATTGGGCCTTGCTTGTTGAATTCTGGTGCAGTATTTGCAACTTGCAAGGTCCAGTTCAGACACCCTAATTAATCTTAATGGTTGAACAGCCCAAAGGACCGACCATCGGCTTTAGTGGGCCGAATTAACGGTTCAGTCATATAGAATAGAATAAGGAAAGAAAATAAAGGAAGAGCATGATCTTTGCATTTCAGTTGGAGATGCTAAATCTTGTCATGGTTCAATATCATTAACATTATTTAATAGGTGCGAAATTGGCATTTGGCACCAAAGTTGATTTCTTTGCAAAAATAAAAAGAGGGTGCAATATGAGATAAGTGTGGCTTTAAGTGGATACAAATTACAAAACCATTGCCTTATCATCCTTCGGAAAAATAATAATAATAATAATCATTTACAAAGGTAACAAAGTTTTTCTTGTCATTCTTAGCCCGTGTCAAAAAAGATTTACAAATGTTATTGTGTGAAACAGTGTCAGATGTCTTAAACTATTCATGACTCTATTTTTATTCTTTGTGATCTTGTCTTTTGTTTTACTTTGGTGATGTTTGGCGTCGATGTTGTTTTTTGAGAAAACGGTGTCATGTAGGCACTACATCAGAGAAGGTGGTGCTTCAAACAACGCTTTCTTGTTTGATACCATTTTTCTATAAAAAAAAATGTTGCTCCAAACTACGTTTTGGGAATCAGAAAAGTGCATATAGTTTAGAGCAATGCCAAATTCAATGTTTTATGAGAAAAACAACACATTGCTGCCAATGGTGCAATGATGTAGCATCATCTTGGATGTTGGATAATATAATTCAATGTTGAAAACGTTGCTATCAGTACTGATACCAAATGCCTATGTGACAGCACCAATTACAACTCCACATGCCCAATACCGTTTTTATGAAAAAACAGTGCATTATTCCCAACACCAATACCAAACACCTACTTCAATATTCCTTCCTTTAGTAGCTTCTTTATCTTTTTCATTAAGATGTGATTTAAACACTTATGCCACAACATCAATGAATTTTCATTAATTATGCATCATTTTATACTAACAACATTATATCCATTCATTAATAACAAATGTAAAGCATATGAAATATTAATATTTACTTATAAAGTCCACTGCATGGCGTAAAAAAAAAAAAAATAGAACCAATTACATAAAGTGCTAGTACCAAGTACCAACAATATAAGACTAGAAAACCCACTTGCAAAATTAAATTTAAAAATAAAATCAAATTATAGATTCCAATGGCCTCAACTTGAGCTTTAACACAATTTACTACACTAGAACTCTCTCTCTATCACTTAGCCTCCTACAATTAAAAAAAAAAAAAAAAACCTTTCTTATTCGTACACTTCTTAGTCCTTGTTCTTTTTGTCTATTTTCAACCTCCAATGGCATCTTTTAGGCATCATGTTGTTCTTAATACCTCTTATTTTTCAAACTTCAGACATCAGACTTAATGGCATTCTTTCTATTTGCCCACAAATTGCCCTTCGCATTCATTATTTATTATTAGTAAAACATTCTTTCTATCTAAAACTTTATAAACAATAATACTAAAATATTATTTTAATAATAAAACAATATTCTTACAATAATGATAGTTTATTATTATTTAATCGATTTTATTATTTCAATTATTTTTATTTATTTATTTAGTATTATTATTTTAATTATTTAATTGGTTATTAGTAGCATAATAATAATTAATAAATTACTTGTTTCATTATTTGATTATTGCTGTTATTATTATGGAAATAATAAAAAAATATTCTTATTTAATCAGTTAATTATTTAATTTATATTTTATCTACTATAATGTCATTATTTTAATTATTATTATTATTATTATTATTGTTTACTTATTTAATTATTCTTTTATTATTTATAATTTTTAATATTTTATTACCATTTTTTTATTATTTTTGTTCTTTAATAATAATTTTATTTTAAAAATAATGATTAATATAAATTTATTAATCTTAATCATAATTTAATGTAACGGAAAAACCTATGATATTAGAAAAAACATGATACCTGAAAGGCTTTGACCAATTAAAACCCCTCGTGGATTTTGAAGAAAACCCACCCGATTGATTAGAACTTTTATAATGTGAGTTGATTATATGTTAGTTTATCATGTATTTCTGGCATTATAGTTAAACCCTAACATATAGGGGTGAGTAAATGGGTCGTTCTACTAGGAACCAATTAGAACCATCCTCTAATTGACCTTACCCACCCTACCTATTACCAAGTAGGATCCAATTTCAAATTCTCATAACTAGCTCCCACCATGCCGATTCCATGGTCTGGGGGTATACCCTACTCGAACCAACCTAAAGAACCAGCATTGGTTGGCTTGGGTAGAATAGGCCTTGGTTGGCTTAGGTGGAACCAACCTTTGTTTGAATGATGGATTAGTGTATAGTAATGATCGCGTGATATCATTTAAGTTATTAATTTAAAAAAAAAAGGTTCACATTATTAATTTTTTGAAGAATAGGTTCAAGTTATTAATTTTTTGAAGAACAAATTCAGGTTATTAATTTTCAAATAACTAGTTCAGGTTATTAATTTTCATAGAATTAGATCAGGATATTAATTTTTTAAACAAAACTGAAGTCAATTGTTACATGGTAGGTTCTGGTTCCAAAAGCCTGAAGCTGAATCAAATTGACCCATGCTCACCCCTATTAATGCAAATATCTATTCTCATAATCAACTATGGGGCCAACGTTGAAATGTAAATATCCATTTTCATAATCAAGACAAAAAAAATTAAGATCCAAAAGCAACCTACCAGTATATCTTGGAACCAGAACCAATACAATCAGTTTTATGCAACAGGCTAGCTTGTTTTGAGTTGATCCAATCAATTCACTTATTTTGTTCAAGTCGAGGCAAACCAGATCGAGTTCGGTCCAAGCCAAGGTCAAGTTCCCAATTCATGCTATCGGATTAATAAACCGGATATCTGCATCAATCCATTTTCCTTCTCAAAACAAAAACACAAAAATATGCTCCTAGTTTTGTATTTTGTTTTTTCAAATTTAAACCAAAAACATGTTCTTAAATTTATAGTTTAAAAAACATGTTTTCATATCATGTTTCATAAACCAGTAATTTCTACACCACAATTGTTTTGTTTTAAAAACCATTAGTTTGATGGTTCTATTGTTTTTTGAAACAAAACCAACTTGTTCTTTCTTTTGAAAAATAAAAACAAAGTTCAAGAACATGTTTTTTTTTTGTTAATGTAATAATTTGAAAAACAAATAAAAACAAAATCACTCGTGTTGTAGAACACCCCTTAAAAAGTTCATTTTATTGATTTTCAAATTATCATGCTTGGTAAATGCATGTACATCTCCATAGAATGTCTTTTATATTCATTGTAGGATAAAGGAATTGATGCATGATTGCAACATCATGTTCCACCATGCCTTCAAGAAGTCAATAGAGTATCCAATTACTTAGCAATTCTTGGAATTGGCATTTGGGGTTCTCGATCATTACCAATTTAATGATTTGGATTATTGCCTTTAGGCTATGTGCAGGCGGGATTTGATCCCAAATCTTTGCTACAACCAATAGGAGACCTTATCAATCATCTGGTTGGCACATTGCAATGTGTTTGTGTTTTATTATTGGTTGTTTGGGGTTTGAGTGTGAAAGTGAGGACTTTGTTTCTAGATCTGGGGCAAGGGGGGCTAGGTCTCTATCTTCCTTTTGACAATAGTTAATAAGGGTCCATTTGGCATGTATTTTTGGGAAGATCTTCTGGTAGCTCTGACATGTAAAAGACGCATTAAACTTTTGCATGAAGATTGAGCAACCCGAAAGCATGTTTGGCAGATGTGCGTCTTTCCGTGCGAGATTAAAACGCAAAAGACGTGAGAAACTTCATTTGGAGCTTCCCGAAATCAGCCCAAAATGGGCTTCTCGCATCTTTTCGGTGTCCCATCTTTTGGCGGGTAGATATTCCGTGCACCAAATGGAAATAGACCAAAAATCGATCTTTACGACTTGTAAACAGTCAAAAGACCGCACAGAAAGACGCACCAAACAGGCCCTACCCCTTCACCTAGAGTAAATTTTGGGATTAAAAAGGCGGGGGGGATACAATACCAACATTATAGGCATCTTGAATAATTAAATTTCAAAATTTTACAAAAAAACATAAATTCTAAATAGTCTAGTTGGTTTCTTATTAATTTGAGTGCTAAAAATGGAAAAAAAATCAAAACCACCAATTTATCCTAAATTACCTTCATGGAAAATGCTTGGGAAACTTGATTTGCATTCTTCATTTGTCTAGCATACTTTTAATACTCTACAATCAGTATCTCTCATTTCCCTTAATCCCCTAGAATAATTGTATAGTTGTATACTTGTATAGTTGAGGCCTAATTATGTATGCAATTGCACATGATTCATGAATTATGAATGAAATGCATGACATCTATTTCTCCATATAAATGTGACATTTCAGGTAAATGAAGAAGCACAATAAAGAGTTTTTATTCTTTTTGTCTCTTGAATGAAAATGAAGAGTCACATATGTAAAATGGAATTTCCACGTCAAAACTCATCTAAGCTTTTCACAATTCCTCTAAATTCTCTCTCTCTCTCTCTCTTATCACACACACTAAGGCTGTGTGGGTTTGAAAGAAAGGTAGGAAAAGATAGAGAAACCTATACAAATTTATACAGATTTCCCTACCTTTCCCCACCTTTTTCTTTTTCTTGAAACTAAACACAATCTAAAAGAGACCCATGTAATGCACGGATTGATGTTAAAAGAGTCATTACATTTAATTTCCTAATAAAAAGAAATCTGAATGATTGCGGACAAGTTTAAATGGCCCCTGATTTTTGTTTTTTTTTTTTTTTTTTAAAAAAAAAACACACACACACACACAAAATTTTAAGGGACTGGGAAGCAATATGAGGATGAGAGAGAACAAGCTGATGCCGATAACTGCAATTTTAGCACATAGAATAGATTTTAAAAAAATAACATAGAAAAAGATGGGCCTACTTAAGGCAATTTCAATGATGCCAATTGCCAAAGGGTATGATACTACAGAACATTATCAAACAGAACTCCCCTCGTGAATTTTGATAAATACCAATTGATTTTCAATAATAGTCGGATTCATTATTTAAATTCATCCACAACTAGGTTTTATTTTGCAAGATGCCAATTGGCTGGTTGGTAAGGTCTCTTGTTGGTTGTAGCAGAGACTTGAGATTGATTCCCGATTATACCAAGGTTGGGGATTTATAGGCTTAGGAAAGGGCTAACCCCCATTAAATAGCAAAAAATAAAAAGTTTAACTTTTATTAGGAAATTGAGTTAAATCACTCCTTACGCTGTGCTTGATTTGATAGAAAATAAGAGAGACATAAGGTTGAGACTTGAGAGGAGACAACTGGGGTAGTCAAATAGAAGATACAAGTTAGAATGAGTCCCACAAGCACGATCCATGTTTGAGGGCTTTGACTGCTGACTGTCTTTTAAGATGGTGTCAACGAAAAATCTCAAATGATTAGTGAAAAAAAAAAGTTGGTTGGGCCAGCCAAAAGCCTGGCCCAGCCCAACCCCATCCTCAGGTCATGTTGGGCTGTCTCCCTTTGGACTATCTCTTTCTCGTTAAAGGAGTACGTTCCAGAGATGGACCTGTGCTTAGTAGATCCGGATTGAGTAGATTAGTAGGTTTAGCAAATCAAAACCCGTCCCCAGCATAATACTGGCTATTTTACACAATTATCCAAACATGCTGCCTGCACTTTCTAAAGCTGTCATTGGGTCAATTCTGGTTTGGGATAGGGTGGACCAGTCCTGGATGCCAATAACCATCCTAACCTGGTGGCAATGAGATTTGATCCTAAATCTCTATTGGAACTAACCAGATAATTTACCAACTGAGCCACCACAAACTGGCCCAACTGATTAGACCCCATTAATTACCTGTGATAATAACAACTTGGAATTTCATTTTTAATAATATAACCTTAATAAAATAAGAGTAAATAGTGAACTGTTTATATGTTCATAAAATAAGTTTTTTTTTAATCAAAATTATCTTATATACTGTCTATGAAATTTATTTTTTAGACATAACATGTAATAAAAATTACAGAAAAGTCGGGAAACCGTTTTATATTATTAACTATTCAATTGGTTCGAAAGAACAAGAACCAGTCTGAACCCAATTATTAATTAGGAGTTAGGACACAAACCACAGAACCTGGACCAGCATAATTGGTTTGGTCAGTTCTGTTCTATAAGGTGGATTCAACCCATTGACATCTCTAGCTCTTTCAAATTGAAATCCTTATTGTGATTCAATATGCTATTAATTTCTTATATAAAGATATAGGCCAAATTTTATGAATTACATAGATCAGATTTGAATCAGATATACCTAAATCCAAAATTGACCAATTAATATTCGGTTTCGAATTGAATCTTATCCAGACTCAGATCTGACTCGAATCGGATTTAAATATTGTATACCATTAACACATTAAACTAAAAAAATCAGAACATTTTACATGATTAATAAAATTACATAATTTCCCTTAGGCTGAAACCTCTGGCACGAGTAAATAGCTTATAAGCACATGTGCTATTGGATCAGATCATATTAGATATAGGGCTGGATTTGTGTGGATCCATCCAATTATGAAGATTGAATTTGGATCACCATATTTAGATTCGATTTGAATTTGAATTGAGACAAACAGAATTTGCAGCCCTATTTGATGAATGGAAATGGAATAGAAAAGAGGGGTTGATGATATCTAAAAACATATACTATTTTAATTACATTTAAGCAATGTTTTAAAAATCAATTCAGAATTGGAACTGTTCTGGCCACTGGTTTTTGGGTTGATGGTTCGATCATGATTTGAATAAATGGTCTGTTTTGAAAAAATTAAAAATATAATTAAAATAAAAATGATCAAAAACCGTTGAATGAATCGACAGTTTGATCGCCTTGGTCAATGGGTCATTGACCAATTCAATAGTTTTTGGCCAGAGACCGGGTTTGGAGTAAAACGGAACCGATTGCCTAAATAGTTCCTAGGCTAAACAGTCCAACCATCCGAGTCAATAACGGTTTGAAAACATTGCATTTAAGAACCGTATTCAAGAGAAAACACTCATAGGAGAAAGAATTCATGTAAATCGAAAACACTCAAAAGGAAACCCATCTTTCATTGAATTTCTTTTTTACTTTGGTAGAAATATTGGCATTGAATTCAAAGAATATTCAAATTGCAGGGAAGAAAGAATATGAGTAGATTGTCTTATATTAGAAAAAATATTAAAATCAGACTATCAGAGAAAATAAAATAAGAAATTTCCATCACTTCTAAATCTTGGGGATTACTTGAAGAACAATAAAAAAGAAAAAAAGAAAAGATAAAATTCTCTTTTTAATGTGAGTAACCTAATTATACGGTGTTAGGGCTGCAAGTAGGGTTAGGGATTGGGTTTATTGAAAATTTAACAAATTCACAGCCCAACCTGACCCAAGTTTGCATCCCATGGAATATGAGCCCATGAGGTAAAGCTTCACACACCAGAATAGGGACTAAAAACTTCCATGCGAAACTCCATGGGCCCATGGGGTAAAGCTTCACACCAGAATCCAGAATAAATCAACAACGGACCAAAAACTTCCTTGCCAAATTCCTTCCTTGAGTCTGGCTCAACTACTTTGTCTAGTGTCAACCAAAAGGGATCCGTGTCCCTTTCCTCAGCTCTTTTTCTAGAGTTAGCTGATCATTATCAACTGACAAGGATGCAGCTTCCCCACCTTTGGAATGATGAATTTGAACCTTTTCTTTCTTCTGGCCTTAATTGGTTCATGACTTGGCCCTATCCGTTCAGACAAATCCTCATGGCCAAACTTTAAAAAGTAATGGGCAAGTTCTGAGACTTGATGGCACAAATTCAAATAGTTCCCAAAGTTGTTTCTTTCAGAATCCAAATTACAGATGATCTCAAATGCTTGTAGATGAACACAAGATCTTGAAAACCAATTGCCTTTGGTTACCTTTTACTGTTTCAGATATTGAGTCTTGTGATATAAAAAAAAAGAAAATTGTATATAGTCAAGTCATCTTTTGGGTAGGACTTAGGAATGAGATCATTCTCAGTAGTCGCTGCAAACAGTGTCTAATTTGGGATTGGTGAAGGTTGCAACCCTTAAAGCATCCATTGTTAATCTCAAAGTAGAACAATGTGAGCCCCTGTGAAAAGAGATGTACCAATCATATATTGAACAATCTGGACGGTGAATAGGTAAGCCAGGTCAGCCATGCTACCATGAGAAGTTTTAGTTTCTCTCAGCTCTAGGCGACGTGGCTTCGTTATCCACCAACCAAATCAGCCTTTGCTCTCCAAGTCTTGTCGGGTTAAGGGATATCTTGATTGTCAATAGTACTGGACTACTGGTACGAGTATAAATATAATGGATCTACTTTAGGTTTAGGCCCTCGAGTTGAGGATCTATGTTGCTTATCGGCCCAGTCAAAAAAGACGGAGAAAAAGAGAAAGAAAGTTGGGCTTGCTTAGAAATGGGGGAAACAGGAAACCAACAGAGCAAAACAAGAGAGAAAGGACATAACTTAAGAGGATAGAATCCAGATTCAGGCATTCAGCGGTGAGCTTGGATTGCAATATCCGACCCTATTTGAAATTGTGTTGGGTTGAGTATCCCCCAAACATTGAGTCTATGCCTCTTATGGTTGCTTCAAGAGAGCTGATTTAACTCTTTAATGGACTATTGCCATTTAACAGCAGTTGATTGGGTTTCAGTTGTCTGTTCCCTCACTCATCCTAATCAAACACAACTCCACTAAACTAATCACAACAAGAGAACAAAAAAGAACAAAAATTATCTTAAGAAGAAAAATACAAATATCTGAACTCCAAAATTTTGACACGGAAAGGATGATTATTGTTAACAGTAATACTACTAGTTTTTGTACATAAGAGCCCGGAATCGACTCAGACAGTCCGACAGCTTTGTAGCAAGTCTATTAGTCTCATGTTTCAATAACCTGAAGACCCAGAGAAGTCCAAAAGGCATCCATTGCCTATTGGTGTGAGTTGGGCAGTCCCATCGGAACCCAAGAAAAGGGATTAGATGAACAAAAGAACAGAAAACCATTACCCTCTTGAACGTCTGGAAGTTTGGCCTTCTCCTCCTTTGGCTTCTACTAGCCTTGCCTTCAAACTACTCTCTTGAGAAATGGTTGGCTTTTCACAAACTGAACTGGTTGAGTCTCGTGAAGGCCATGGTTGGCCCCATTGCCGTGTTGGGCTCGCAAAGCCCCTTGCTGATGCCAGCCTTGAGCCAGACAACAGATGATCTCTGAGACCCTTGACAGATTTGTATCTTTGGGTTTCATCTTCATAATCTTGTCTTGGAGTCTGCCTATCATGCTCAGAGAACCTTGCCCAATCGATTCCATCTCCATAGTTCTGGAAGTTCTCAGTACTGAAGTCCCACTCAATCCCATCTGAAATGCCTCTTTCAAGACAGATGCTTGCCCTTGACATTTTCTCCGAGGCAGACTTTCTCCCCTTAATTTCTTCCTCAACTGAAACTCTCTTTGGATCTTCTTGAATGGAACCAGTAGCATAACTCCACTTGTAGCTCTTACTGTTATTATCCATGTTTAACTCGATCGAATGAAGATCACTCTCAGCAGAATCTTCTTCTTCAGCATCTTCTCCATCTTCTACTTCTCCATCTTCTTTCTGGAAAGAATCAGAATGGGCTCTACTTAAATTGGATCCTACATCTACTTTGCCCCGACGTTTCTGAGACACAATTCCATTTTCTTTAGCCCTTCTGCTCTTAAGAGCTTCAAGTTCATGCCTTAGCTTGTCAACTGCAGCATTTTTCTCCTCAAACTGATATTTAGCCTCTGTGAGCTTCATCTGCACTCTCTCCTCACGCAACACATCAGCTAGCTGAAGCATTTCTCTCTCCTTCTCCACCTCTTCACGAACCTTTGCCGACTCTCTCCTCAATTCTTCCACCTCTGCCTTTTCTTCTCCAATACCTCTGGCCAACTCATCACAGACTTGTTCCAGCATCTCCCGTGCTCTCTTCTCACTTTCCAGTTCTTTCAGTGCTTTTGCAAGAGATGATTTGGTCTCAGCCAATTCCCTCCCAAGCTTCTTATTCAGGCTTTCACTTCGTCTCCTAAGTTTCCTCTCTACTTCAAGGTTTCCTGAAATGGATTCAATAGCTGCCTGTATCTTTTCTTGTTCCTTGCTCTTCCATGCTGCCTTCTCTTCTGCAAAACGCTTCATAAGGTAAGTAATCTCATTGCGATCAGATCGTTGTTCTTGCAGAAGATGATCGACCTGCAAACGGGCACGTTCAAGCTCAGCACGTAAGGCGGAGACAAGGGACATGCTTGATGAACTCTGCTCTTCAAGACCCCAAATCCGGTTGAGTATTTTCAGAAGTTCTTTAGAAGTGGTCAGACCATTGCTAAGGTCCTTCAATCTGGTCTTAACTCCTACAATGGAGCCTGTAGGAGTCATGCCTCGAGATCTTGTCTCAATCTGCAACAAAAAAAACATGTTCAATTGTGCTACTTCCGTTAAAAGTAAATACATTTTCCCCAATAATTTCTTAAATCTCACCAGAGGAACAGAGAGAGGAAATCCAAATGTCTTTCCCAAATCTGAAGAATTATAAGATGATCATAACTTCACCATCTTTTCCTTTTCAGAAAGCAAAAAGAAAAGATAGAAACAGAATGACATCAAACAGCAGACAGGAAAAGAAATAATCCAAGAGTTCGGATACCTCCATTAAACTGCCATTGCTGAGAACATCCAAAGTCCCACCACTGTGATCAGTAAGCCTCAACCTATGTGAAATTGCTGAAGTTCTTCTCCGGAGACTACCAGTACCAGAACGATCCATCCTCTACAAAATTGACAAGAGCATATGACAGAAAGTAAAGAACAAAACTTCTACCGAATAGAAAACAGAGACGATTAAAAGAGAAGGCAGAAAAGAAGCAATGCTACAAAACTAAGGGCTATGAAATTCCTCAATTGTAGCAAACCAATTAAGGGAAAAATCAGAGAACAAGAAGAAGAACCAACCTCTGAAACAGGGCTATGCGACGGATCGGATAAATGGGGTGGAAGAGAACCCGACTGGACAGACCTGGCAATCCTTTCTCTGGCTCTCATCTCTTTCTTGATTCTTCTCTCCTCCAAATCGTCTTTCATTCTAGGAGATGGGATCTCATTCATCTCCCAAAGAGTGGCAGCGAGTTTCCGCGCCGATACCGGAGCTTGCTTCCCTTTACCGCCACTATGAGATGGTTGATATTTAGGAGATTCCACGATTCCAACCACAGAAGTAGGGGATCTGGAGCTTATTTTCCATGTCGGAACCGGCGTGCTCGATCCTCCTCTCTTCCCAACCAGAATCGCCCTCTTGAACCTGTAATTCTGCACCAGCGAAGATGAAGACGATGACGAAGAGCATCCCCGTTTTCTGATCTTGCAGGGTCCTCCAAGCAGACCTTCTATACTTCGATTATGTCTCGGCATTCTCCACTGTTTTCACAAATTCTCTTCAAACTGTGAAAATCCCAAAGCAGAAGAAATTAAAAAAAAAAAAAGAACTTGACTGCTTATTCAACTTTCATTAATCAAAACCACAACCAACATTCGCTCAAATCCAAAATTCTGAGAAACAGAGGATCATTTCAGAAGCAAGAATAACAAACTTAAGACAGTTACAAACGCCATGGATCTCAGTCCGTACCATCACAGTCTACTGACCCACGGAGTCCGTCTCCCCCACTCTCGAACGGTTCCAATCGTCCCGCAGGATGGCTCTGAACAAATTCAATTCTCAAATTCTGGGATCAAAAAGAAAAGAAGCTGGGAATCATTAAAAGGCAGTGAACTAAAGCAAAACCCAACAGTCGCGAGCTTTATTACCAGTAGTCCAGTACGAAGATCAAAAACCCTAAAAAGACGAGAAATTCTAAAGCTCTAGACGTAGAATCCGAGTCAAAAAAATCAAGAAATCCAAACCCTAACCCTAGCAAAGAGCGGATCTTCCATCTTCGACGGCAAAAGGAGTGAAATAAAAATGGAAGCTTAGAACAGCTTAAAGGAGCGAAGAAGCTTTGGAGTGGAGAGAAATCCACAAGAGCAAAACAAATACATGAGAGCTCGACGTGCATCACCTCTGATTTAGACGTCTGTCCCACGTGTACACACGTGAGTCATCTTTCTCCAATCGTCTACGCACACGTGTTAGGAACGGTCAGTATCTTCACCAGATTCTGCTTATTATTATTTATTTTATTCATTTATCTTTCTGACTTATGGAAAAAAACGTTCCAACAATATCCTTCCAACAGATCTGACATCGCACGTCTGGATCCACGTATATGAATGTGCGGTGTGAGATAATGTTGGAAAGACGTTGGAACATAATTGTGTTGACAGGAGGGGCGTAGGGAGGAAAGTAGTGAAATACCAAAACAGAGTCGCGCGTTTGTTTTCTTAAGGAGTTTGGATTGGCGCTATTTAGGATTCAGCCCTGTTAGTTTTAAATTGAGGAAAATAATATTTACAAAAATACCCCACATTTTTTCATATTTAGAATTCCATCCTATTAGTTTTAAATTGTAGGGAAACTTTCCAATTAGTATCCTATAATTTGGGCCTAGTGCCACTTTGGTCCCTGAACTTTAAAATGTGATAATTTAGTATCTAAACTTTCAAAATGTGTCAATCCAGTCGCAAACCAATCCGTTAACCGGCCATTAAGTGATATTTGAAAAGACATAGATGCCCTTTGAATGTCATTTAATTTTCTTTATCAATCATCCACGTTGATAAAAATGAACACTCTCAAATCCTTGCCTCTTTTATTCAATAAAGTTGGATAAAGTTGGGGTTACGTCTTAGTGGGCATTCTGGTGACCCCAACTTTCTTGATCAGAAGAGATAAGGATTTGGGACTGTTTATTTTTTGTCAATGTTTAGATGGTTGATAAAGAGAAATAGATGACACTCGAAGGGTATTTGTGTCTTTTCAAATGACACTTAACGGTTAGTTAACAGGCTGGTTAATGGCAGATACTAGATTGACACGTTTTGAAAATTCGGATACTAAATTGTCGCATTTTAAAGTTCGGAAACCAAAGTAACATTAGACCCAAAGTATAGGTATTAATGTGGAATTTTCTCTAAATTTTATGATGCATTTGTACCTAGTATAAAATAGTGGGGTGTGTTCTAAGAGGTGGGATCTCGTATGTTAGTTGTTTGTAATATATGATGTCATGTGCACCTTGAAAGATTTTAAAATTTCAAAACTACCCTTCACCAATTTTATGAGTTGTACCCAAGTGACCTTGCATCAAAATTTGACCATTCTTAGAAACTAGTTCATTTATCAAAAAAAAAAAACAGTTCAAAAAATTCATTATTAAGACTACCTAAAAGGAATTTAAAATGGGTAGCTTTTAATTTTATCACTCACTGTAATGTTGGTTAAGCTCATTTTAGAAGTAATACAAACACAAATATATAGTGCAAATTCCTTTCCATGTATTTTTATTGTATATATTTGTATTTATACTCTTTCTAAATTGAGCCTGAGCATTGATTTTTGAATGTTCAAGGTACTTGATTGCTAAACTTGAAAGTTGATCAGGTCTAAGTGTCATTATCCTCCAAATATAAGGTATCTATTTGTAATTTTCTCTACATTAAATTCATAGAGAAATGTTCCCATTGTGCGGCTGGAAGATCATGCTTTCAAATTGTGTGGGAAGATTATGCTTGCAGTAAATCCCATTGTATGTTCCATGCTATTGGCCCGGTCATGACATATTTATAATTGTAAGTTATGGAACACACCATACCTATTTTGTTGGGATGTTCTATATTGTGGTGGTTTAGCTTGTGATTTTTTTTTTCTAGTAAGAAACATCGGGGGTTTGAAAAATAGATTTTTGTAGTAAATAAATGTTCTACAATGCAAGGTTTTAAAAATCGATTCAGAATTGGAATTGTTCTGCCCACTGGTTTCTGGGTTGATGGTTTGATCGTTTGATTTGAACAAATGACTCATTATAACTATGAAATTAAAAAATAATTAAATAAAGAATGGTAAAAAACCATTAAACGGGTTGACAGTTCGACCACTCGGGTCAATGGATCATTGACCAAATCAATGGTTTTTGGCCAAGAATTGGGTTGAGGGTGAAATGGAACTAGTTGCCTGGATGATTCTCATGCTGAATGGTTCGACCGTTCGAGTCAACGGTGGTTCAAAAACACTACTATAATGTATAGAAAATAAACATGTAATTGTGTAAGCATGCTATGACTTAAAAGAATGTGAGGTTGAGGGTCTCTCTCTCTTTGGGAGGGTTTCTCTCTCACATCTATGGATGTGAGTTTTTATTTATTTCTCTTTATATCGGTGTTTATTGGAGAGGTTATTTAGACAGATTTGAGAGACGACAGTTTTGATCCAGGCCTATGGAGCAGGTTTGGGATCTTTGGTTCTATTCATTCTAATATTTCTTTTTCCTCTGCTCTTTTTCTTATTTTTGTTGGACCTTAGTTCAATTTGTGTGTGGTGTGCCTTTGGGGTCTGTCATGGGTATCCATTTGTTTTGTAACGATGTTATCGTTCCTGATAAGCCTTTTTCCGACAATCTTTGAGTTCTCTCTGATGACATTCATGCTCCAACTGTTTTGGTTTTTATAACGACATGGATGGGTGGTTTTTTTTGCACATTTTAAGTCTCTATAGTTACAAGTTACAACTTCTTTTGTGCACTTTTGGCTTTCTGTGAAGCCCACTTTTGACTTTATTTGAGGCCCGTTCCTTGAATCTTTGGATGGTGGAGTGTTAGGGAGAGTTTTGTAATAGGAGGCGATCTTGAGCCTCTCCCGCTTTCATGTTTTCAATATTATCATGAATTGGATGCCATGGTACCTGTTTTCTCTATACGCCTTGATGATTTTACATAATTGATCTGGACTCATTTGGTAAGGAGACACAATACCCTCTTAATTAACCCAGCAATATCAACCTATATTTGACTTAGAAAATAAGAGAAAAGCAGAAAGTTTGAGGAAAAGTTTTTGATAATTTTTATACCCAAAGGTTGCTAAGACATTGTTGCCTAGCCCTAGACCAAATCGATATGATTTTAGGTCCAAACTCGACATTTTAGGTTTTATACTTGGCCTTTGCCTTTGGATAATGAACTCAGCCTTAAGCCTACTATTGGACAACTATATCCGGTAGACAAACTCAATGAATACACTAAGCACACATAATCACAAGGTGCCAAACAGCTGGCTAGTTGGTAACGTCTCGTTCTTCCACTGGTTGTAGTAAAGAATTGAGATTGAAACGAGTTCACTTTTGTTAAGACACTGTCAAAGTCACCTCATCTAATTCAAGATGGGGCCATGTGGGTTGGATTGAAACCCGCTTGCATTAGGGTTGTGGTGGTAAGCATACATTACCAAATAAACCTACCACATCGGGATTCGGGACTCTAATAGTAGTGTTGCAAATGGTATCCAATTGTCCAAATTCGATTCATTTATAAATGGATTAAATATCACGCTTATCCAATCCCATATAATATGATCCAAATTGATTTAAATATATAAAATCATATGTATGCTTGTTGTTTTTCTACTAAAAATATCATTCGTTCAAGTATTTAAGTTTCATATAAGTAATTTTTAATTTATTTTTCTCACAAAATATAATATCAGTCATTTTTAATTTATTTTATGATATAAGATATTTTGATAAATTTTGGTTTAACTTATTTACATCATCCAATATTGCTAGAGGTGTAAATTGGGTTATGATGCCTGTGGCTCATGGGTTAGTATGACCCATATATTTATATATAATATATAATATATTATATAAATTATAATTATATAATAATATATAATATATAATATATTAATAAAATAAACAATTATTTTCAATTTTATTTAACTATTATATATAAATAATTGTATACATCAAAATTCATATAAAATAAAAATTTTGAAGTTTTTTTTTAATTTTTAAATAAATAACTTTGGACAGCTCGACCTGACCTAAGGCTCGGCCTATGGACCAGCCCAGCCCATGACACGGCATGGACCCATGCAGTCTCAGGCTGTAGGCTGTGGCAGGTTGGGCCAACACGGCCTGTTTTACAGCTTTAAATATCCCCAATATCAATCCAAATTGAACTTGAAGGAGATGCACAAAAGATGGTTCACGTCCTATTGGAGAGGCTCGTTGGCGAATCCAATCCATTATTGCTGAATACAGGGCACTTCGCAGCGGTTCGAATATTTAACTGTTTCCTTTATCCCACGGACAAGTAATAGAGTTGCTCGCAAGCTTGCAAAACATGGTTGCAATGTTTGTAGGACCTACCCAGCTGATATGGGTGAACGATTTGATGCAATGAACGATGGATAAGATCCAATTCTAATTTTGACATAAACAAATCAAATTTGAATCTACCTATATCCAATTCGATTCTATTATTTTGTAGTCCTAACTACACCATTTGGCCTTATTAACATCAAGTGGGAATCACAACCACAGCCACAGCTTCGGTAGGAATCTGACCCCTACATTTGACAAGAACAAGATCTAACAACACACCCTATATCCATTTTATTGGGAAAGCTTGAACCATGTGCCAAAGCCATGAGAGAACATATTTGGTGAAACAATGGGCTCCTTGATTGGACAAGAGATGAAAATGAACATGAAGGCCATGCTTTTTTTTTTTGAGTTTCTATCTGTTCCTCACAGATTGCTCTTCACACTGACCTCACAGCACAAATCAGTCATGTATTGGGAACATTTCCTCATGAATAATAACATACAGGGATGGAAATATTCCTGATGTATGGATGGGATGTGCTGTGAGGAACGGATCTGAACTCGCCTCTTTTCTTAGGCAGGAGTATTGTAGATCCTGTCGATGGCAATAAAAAATTACAATAATAAGGCCATTGGATCATTCATCCTGGCCTGTTTTTGTTATTCATATTTGTAACTTAGTAGGCAAAGGTGTGTGTATACTGTTAGCGAATAAAAACTATACAAGGAACCGACCACCTAACAGCTTAAGCTTTTA